GGTTGGGGAAAGGTAGTGTTCAGCTTCCTGCGGCCCAAAGTCATCGAGAGGAACATTCGTCAAGTCGGAGCTAGATTCGCGGCGTCGCGCTGAAGGTGTGGTACCATGTGTCGGGTCGAAGCTGAGGCCCACCGTCGACATTGCCTGCGCGAATGTCCCCGGATCCTCCACATGGAATGCATCTTCATTATCATGGGCGGCATGTTGTGGACGTGCACGCCGTGCGACTGGCGGGGGTTCAACAGGGGACTCCTCCGACACCCTCTCATAGTTATTCAATGAGCCTCCGCTTCTCAAAGATCGTCTCGACAGAAATCTGCTTCCCACGCGACTTGTCCTAGCCTGACTGCGCTCCGACGGCCCGGAAAAGTCTTGTAAAGGAATCGATTGATCTGTGAGAGCATTGTCTTCGTCAAGGCCGCGATTGTGGCTATTCGAAGCCATCGTAGGCAGGTATTATGCGCTAGCCGAATGTAGACATTGCAGAGTGCAGCTGTGGAAACCGTACCTGTGTCAATAATGTCTTGCGGTTAGGGACAATTCAACAATAGATATAAAGAGAACGTGTTGCTTTCTGCTAAGTTATTTTCTTCCGTTCAGGAACTTACTACTGTCGTTGCTTGCCAAGTATGCGGGTATGTTCTTCTCAGCCAACACCAGTTCTTCCGTACCTGTCAGGCAAAACTAGCGGGAATCTACGGGCTTTTGTCAAAAGGGAAAATAAGGCCAGTGCGACAGAAAAGGGAGACTACTGTACAAATCGCCCTGGGATCGTGATATAATTGAACAAGTGTGAGCAGCGGAGCTTTGCTTGGATTACGCCAACACGGCCAGAACTGGGGCGGTTGGCCCGTAAGCTGGCTTCTGTGTGGTTCGTTGGACTTGGTCTCACCTGCGATGGAACCTGAGACTCTGGAACCCACGCTTGTGGCTCATCCAAATTTAGCTATTCTTAATTTCTTACTCTGGAAATTGGATCATTTAACGCCATCTATGGAGTACTCTGTATGCTTCTTCGTTAACTCCATGGTTCACAGCAGCGACAGATTTTTGTTTGACTTGCATATGAGGTTTTGGCGATCTAACCTAGCTCCAAGGACTAATGAGCTATGAAGGCTCCAGCCAATCTCCTGTGATCCCGTAACTAATTGGAGAAATATCGCTCTAAAACTACGGAGTATACAGAGTACTCTGTCAATGATTGGGTTTTGCTAGTCGACGCCTTGCCCCGGGTGTCTTAGCTCGTCACAGTCTTTGAGCGTAGTTCAGCACCTGGTCTTGCCCATAAACTGCTAGCAGTAAGGCTGGGAGTCCAAGTTGCTTCTTCATGTTGCAACGTGGCCAAAGGATTGATGAACCGGCAGCACCCAAGAATTTTGGTTCTCTAATGTAAATCTTCTGTTGCGAGTTCGACGCTTCTAGTGGATGGATAGATCATGACACGAGGAGGTAGTTACAGGAAGCGTTTTGGTACAAGACGTGCGGCTCAATCAATCAGTCTCCATCTCATTCTCCTGATCCGATTCTTTAACATGGTCCCGAACGCCTCTGAGAAAAGCTTCAACAGCATCCCCGCCACCAAGAGGAACACCTCCTCTATGCATGAAACCACTATTTTCGACAGGGATCTTGAGGGCCTCGCTTATGCTTGGTAGGCCGCCATCTCTGATAGCAACAGTCAAGCTAGCAAGACTCTGCGAGAATTGAGGGGAATGAAGGACTTTCCGTAATATGCTCTTCTTCTGCGACAAGTCGAGCGAGAGCATTGCTGCTTCTACGATCTCCGGATCGGTCTCAGCAAGCGACACATCTTCGGATTCCTGCGCTAAAAGAAGGAGGGTCGGTGGTAGATAGCTTAAGAGATTGTCAACGGTTCGATCGTCCGCAGACTCTAGAAAAGGGATAGTAGATGATGGCGAAAGGAGATCTTGTAGCGTTGTGAAAGGTCTGTCGGGGTCTTGGGACTGGTTTTGGTTCCCCTGCAAGGACCTCAAGAAGCTCTGTACAACAGACGAAGGGTTTGAGTCGGCGGCCGCCCTGAGAAAACGAGATCAGCTCGGAAAATTTCAGTACAGCGATGGTCAAAAAGCAGGAAGTAAATTTCGGTTCGGGAACCAATCGTGACCGCAGAATAGATGCAGGAAGATGTACCTACGCTCGTCCACCGTCAGCACCACCCTCCCTCGCTTCCTCTCCTTCTTCTCTGATGTCTCCACCCGTAGCGTCCACGCCGGCACCTCCACTGCCTGCGTGGTTATGGCTTGGATTATGGTCCGCGCCCTCGACATCCTCCATCGTCTCATCGTCGTCGCCGCCGCCAGAAGGACCACCTCTGGGAAGGTTGGCAATTGCATGCGCGACGTCGACTTCTTCACCCTGAAGTAATTCGTTGACAATTTCGCCTAGCTTGAGATCTCTGGGGCTGAACCAGCTAGGATCGCCTCTCTCATGCTGAGATCTTGACTGGAGCCAGAATAGATAGCGCTGCGAGCTGGAGGAGAACTTCAATACGAAGATTCGGCCGTTTGTGGGTGTGTCTTTGCCAGCTGGTTGATATGGGGTGAAGGTCCCGTCTGATGGGACCATTACGAGATCCAATTCGGGTTGATCAGGAGGAGCGGTCCTTGGACGCCAGCAAAAGTGCACCAATTCATCCTCGGAGTAGAGGTAGATGTAACCTGGAGTAGGCTTCGGCTTGACCACGGGGTTTGAACTTGAGACCTGTTCAGACGAAAAGTAGTGTTAGTAACGGTCATAAAGTAGTTGCCAGACCGAATCGTGGCCTTTTGATAGAGAGAGGGTATGGTCAAGATGTCGGAGTTGTAGTGACAGTCACTCACATCAAGGTCACAGATACCAGCTTTGAACGTAATGAGCGGGGCTATAGACATGGCGAAGGTCTATGAGAATGAAGAGTAAAGGTAGAAAGAATGGTAGAGCTGGAGTTTGTCGGCCGTTTTGTGATGTTGTTCGAGACGGGACGGTGTTGTTATGATGGTTGGTAAGCTCTGAAGCAACGGGTTCCAGAAGGGTACGTCAGTTCAAGAATGATGGGGCAGAGAAAGCTTCCATTGCGTTAAAGGTCTCTATGGTTGACCGGAGCTGGACACCTCAGGCAAGTAATCGTGACCTTATCAGTGACTCCAAATCGGCACTAGCGCGATTCGGTTAATTGATAGGGCTCGCGTTCCCACAAACCTCAGGATTTCCGCCCGGGGCCGCAAGTAGTCAGTCACACTTCAATCCAACAACCACCCGCCGTCGACAACCACCCACCCCCTCCTACATTCTTTTCAGACCACCTTCGTCCCCGGTAGCCAATATGTCGGACTCTACTGTTGGCCAGACGAAGCAGTTTGGAAAGGGCCAGAGGACCGTTCCGGCTCAGAAGGCCCAGAAATGGTACCCCGTTGATGACGAGTCGCAGCCCAAGAAAGTCAGTACGCCCTATATAGAGAGAAATGCTTGATTGGAGATGCGGTTTTATTTATGAATGAATGCGACGATTGCGCCGGTCAATGATACCGCTTTTTGTGGGTGGATCAAGGCCAGTGTCAATATGAACATGAATTGATAAGGGAAATCGCATCTCCGGGGATATATCTGCATATCCATAACTTGCAAGTGTTTCCGGATTAATGGGAACAAGAGTTTTCTGACGTGGTTGTGCGTTTGAATAGGTTCGCAAGGCTCTTCGTCCTACCAAGCTCCGGGAAAGCCTTCAGCCCGGTACTGTTCTGATCCTCCTCGCCGGTCGCTTCCGTGGCAAGCGTGTCATCCTCCTCAAGCACCTTGACCAGGGTGTCCTCCTCGTTACCGGTCCCTTCAAGATCAACGGTGTTCCTCTCAGACGGGTGAACGCTCGCTACGTGATCGCCACTAGCAAGCGTGTGGACATCAGCAGCGTCGACCAGAGCGTCCTCGAGAAGGTCAGCGCTTCGGACTACTTCACCAAGGAGAAGAAGGCCGAGAAGAAGACCGAGGAGGCTTTCTTCAAGCAGGGAGAGAAGCCCGAGGTATGTGAATTCTGTCGATCAACTGGATCCTGTGCACGATGGAGGAGGAAATTACTCCGTTGTGAATTAGACGACACGTACTAATATGCGACTGTTTACAACAGAAGAAGAAGGTTGCCAGCGCTCGTGCCAGCGACCAGAAGGCCGTCGACCAGTCCATCCTGGCCTCCGTCAAGAAGGAGGCCTTCCTCGGCAGCTACCTCGCCAGCTCCTTCAGCCTCCGGAACGGCGACAAGCCCCACGAGATGAAGTGGTAAATGTGCGTGGCGGCCGCGGGTTCGGTAGTGATTGTGGAGGAAATCTTGCGCGAGGGGCGGCTTGGATTGCAAATGGGCGTCCCCACTGCCCGGGGATCGCATATCTCTTTTGCAGCGCGGGAGGAACAAGTTCATGAAATAATGTAACTCGATACGGGCTCCGTCTTTGCTTAGGATTGCGGTCAATCCGGAAAAACCGGTTGTCATTTCCTTGTTTCAACGAAAAGTCTCCTCCAGCGTGGCCCGATTTGCAGGACCTCTTTAAAGAAAAGCCGAAATGTCAAAGAAAAAAAAGAATACCTTTTCCAGCTGTTACACGTGCCCTTGAAAAGACTAGGCTGGGCGTTATCGTTTTATGTTAAGTATGATACATCTCTCATTTCCGGGGTCAGGTCGAGATCCAAAATTAGGGACTGTTAGGTTCTGTTCCAACTTCCAACTTCAGCTTCGTGCACATCCCCATCTCATTTTTCTATCAAAAGCCCAAGCGACATCACTCACAGCGGGTATCAGTCCCAAGGAACATGCGATTGCGACCTTACAACGAGGATACTCGCTTTAAAACTGCCTCGAGAACGCCAGCGCAACAGTCTGTACGGAGTAGTAGCCCATGCCACCGCATCATCAAGCATCCAAATCCAAAACATAAAAGTGACATCGCACCCATACCATATAATCATAAATCCATACAGAAAACCATGACCTCATGAACCCACAAACCCCAGAATTAATCATCCCTCTGCCTTCTCCGCAACCGACGACGACTCCCATCCCTAAACCTTCTCGTAGACTCCTCCACAGCCCTCCGAATCTTCTCATCGATATCCCCCTCCTGGCCCAGGCTAGCGCTAAGCTGACTCTGCGCATCATCTATAACACTACCCGTTCCATCCTCACCATCGCCGACAGTCGTCCCACACATCCAGTCCAGAATACCCCAAGGCCCGAAATTCCCTTCCGCCCCACTTAGCAAATGCACATCCGTGCGACGCGCAATGCCGCCCAGGAAGAAACTCGTCGGCATCACAGAGTACCCGGAGAAGGCGAATGTCTCCTCAATGGATATTATAGACAGGTAGAGGAGGTAGGTGAGCATGTGGAGGCGGAAGAGCATGGCAGGCGCGTATGTTGGGATGAAGTTAACGAGGAGGTATGCGATGGGGTGATCATAGTGCGCAGTGAGGGGAAACGGTGCGCGCAGTGAATGATACCATGATTCATGGTACTTTGCGACACTATATTGCTTGGAGTGGAGGGCGTAGCGATGGACAGCGTATGCGAGGATCTACAGCGTCGCAGAACGGGTCAACTCAGGCCACAGAGCTTATCCATCCAAAAGGACGGGAGACCACTCACCTCTCTCCCGAACAAACCTCGGAACAAATCCTTGACAATCTCCCATGGCATCGGCAGTCTCATGGACACTTTAAGAGCGCTGCGCATTCCGAGCACCTTGGTGCGAACGACCTCAATGGCGGCCTGCGCGGCGATGCTCAAAGCAAGGTTGGCCAGCGCCCATCCCGCGATTTTGAAGTCCTTTGCTCGGATTTTGCTGCGCTTGCTTCCGGCAGGGAGACCAAACTCTCCATGCGCCTTGATCACCACCGCTGCGGAGGGTGTCAAGACGTCAAACAGGAAGAAGAGGACAGAGGGAAAGACGTAAAAAAAGAGTCGCACGGCCACGGTACCGAACAATTCAACCCTGAGAGGAGGATGCGACAGCACAAGGGTCGACCATGTCATAAAGAAGAATAACAAGTTGAGGCTTGTGCTGTACGAGGAAATCGTAGGAATGAGAAATAGCGAAAGGACAGGTAGGGAGAAGAGCGCATCCATCTTGTTTGCGATCTGCGCATTAGCCTTCGGTATAAGTGTTAGATGTGCTTTTTTGATTCAACAATTGCATATTCAAAGGTTTGTAACTGAAGTAATTTTGTAGAATGTGCAATCTCCTGCCTGCAACTTGCAGGTGTGTCTGACAAGGCGATATTTGTGGCTGGGGTTTGCAACTTGATACTAAGTAGGGCACAAGTTTGGCTGGTTGCGGAGATCCTGATAAGCTTTACGTCACTGTCAGCAAAGCAATCATCTACAGGAATGCAGGAAAGTAGAACAATGCAATTGTTATGCTTGCTAAATTGACGACGTCTTAGTGATTGGAAAATGGGACCTTTTAACATGAAGGTAGCGATCCGATCGTTCGAAGACCATATTCAGGTAAGGACAAACAATGAAAAGGACGCTGTTATCCACATCAAGACTGTATATATATTGCTTCCCCGTGATCGTCAAAATCCTCATTCTGAGCAGCTATCTTAGGACTCGTCGCCATAATTCTTCTTTCCATCCAATCATTCCACCAAGCTTTCTATAGCTTTACGAGGTAACTAATGAGAAGACTGATGTGCTTGGCTCCTGTATGGCGTTCGTTTAATGAGTTGCAAAAGTCCGAAGATGGCACAAGAGTATAATTGAACAATCAAACCAGGCGATGAGCAATTAGCAAGTAGAAGAGAATAATATTACTAATTTCATTTCATCAGTTCTCTGAGGCTTAACAGGACCATCACAAATAACGATAAGAGACGAAGCAAAATGCTCGAGGGTATCTAAGAATACACCGCACAATAGGAACATGACCACACCAAACTCCTACTTCGACTGAGATGATGGAACACCGTTCTTCAAGCCCCAATTGAAAGCCTTCTTTCGGAGATCTGGAATCACCTGCAGGAATACCAGGCTACTGAGCCAGCTGGTCAGAGTATCGCCGATGAGCGAATTCCTAGGGCTGGCACCAAGAGCACTCGCTTTCATAATGTGGCCCACAAACATCGTAGTAATCAAGTAGTCACCTTTCTCCAAGCCTTGAATCGATGCCCTGGCGACTTCAATCGGACGCTGTGGCTTGTCGGCAGCTTCCAGTTCCTTTGTAAGTTGAGGCTTGAGTTCTTGCTCGTTGTCAAACCCGGGGCTGAGAATACCCATGGGAAAGATAGTGTGAATCTTAACATCGGCCGGCGGAGCTGCATTTCTGGCTCTCGCTGCCCGAGCACCGTTGTACACCTCAATCTCTTGACTCAGAGTATCGGCCAGAGATCGAATCGCGGCCTTGGCCGGAGAATAGGGAGCGTATCCCGCAATGGAGACAAAAGCAAGAGTCGAACAGGTGAAGATAAGATGTCTCTGAGGCAACGGTACCTGCTGGCTGGGGGTAACGGGCTGGAGCCAGCTCTTGAGAGTCGCATGTGCTGTATTCGCAGCGGTCCAATATACGGTGTCCATCTGGTTTCGCAGTGTGTTCACCGGCGTTTCGACGAAGAAACCAGGCTCACAGTAGCCAGCGCAACACCAAACGACATCTGGAGCGAGACCATGATTCCATTCAGTGACCTCGGCAATAACACGCTCGCATTCTGCGGCATCTGTCAAGTCGGCACTGATATAGTGGAATCTTTGTTTCTTGATGTCTTTGGCGGTTCCCTGCACTGATGTGAGCGCCATAGGTTGAGGGCAGAGACTGGGAGTCTGTCTACCTTAATGGCCTCCAGAGCTTCTCTGAGCTTATGGACGGTGCGGGCCACGATAACGACGTTGGCACCTTTTTCAGCGAGTTGGCACGCCACAGCCTTGCCCATTCCATCGGAACCACCAGTGACAACAATAGTCTGCAGAGAAATGTTCAGCATGCCGCACGGTCTAAAATGAGAGTCCCCAGCGTACCCGACCCTCAACGGGGAAATGGTTTGTTCGAAAGCCGAACATTTTCGATACGCTATATACGATAAGACCGCAGAGAATGAGTGAAATTCCCAATGTAGCGGGTGAAGAGTTAGAGGGTATAAACGAATGAATTTGAGACATGAGAATAGAAACAAGTGAGGAAAACGCAGGAAGAGGAAGAAGAAAGTGGCTATAAACAATGATTAGTTTAGCGGGCTCCTGCCTGAGGGTCGTCGCTTCCCAACTTGTGAAGGAGGAGCTCACAACAAAAGTTCCCGGATACCTGAGGCAAAAATTCCCGTACTCGCCGATACCAGCTCCTCGACGGGTTCGTACCATCGAACAATGTCCCGCTCGTATCGATCGGTAAATGGACAAATAAAACAAACATACTTGACGTAGTTTAGCGCCGCGACGGCGGTGAGAGGTAAATCCCAAAATTTTATCGCAAGAGTTATCAACTCGATAGAGTCGATCTTGGTCAGAATAAGCCCACGTCGTCAATTTTCCTCGAAAATGGCCAAGAAAAGGAAGGCGGGCGGTCGCCCTGCAAAGCAGAACTCTGCTCAGGAGACTGAGCGCACAAAGTTTGCTTTCGAGGAAAGGTTCGACGATTCCGAGGATGAATTCCAAACGGGCCGCGACCACATTTTGCTGGAAGAAGCCCCGGAGGCAAAGAGACGGAGGAAAATGGCAGAGCAAGGTTTGTCTGACTAGTTGCATCTTACATTCGTCCTGTCTTTTCCTGACTTTGTGTCCTATAGAGGAAGCGCTTCAGCCATCCGACGAGGAGATCATGGGCTACGAGTCTATGGAAGAAGACGACCTAGACGACGAGGAGGATTACGATGAAGATGCTTATGAAGATGAGGATGAGGATTATGATGACATGGAGATGGGTTCATCCAAAGCCAAAAAGTCCCGCCGTGGCGATAGTCCTGGCTCGAATGCTTCAGAAGATGAGGAGGGCATTGCGGCGTGGGGAACGTCCAAGAAGGATCTTTACAACGCCGACCAAATTGAGACCGAAGCTGATGCGCTCGAAGAAGAGGCGGAAGCAAAGCGACTCCAACAGAAGCACCTACAAGCCATGAACGAGGAAGACTTTGGCTTCGACGAAACGGAATGGGTTGAATCTGACAAGAAGGAAGACGCAGAAGATGAGGCTGGTGTGGTAACGGAAGTTCTTCCGCAGGTGGAGATCACGGACGAGATGAGCACAGATGAGAAGCTGAAAATCCTAAAGACGAGATATCCTGAGTTCGAGCCGTTGGCGAAAGACTTTGTCGATCTTCAAGCAAAACATGCCGAACTCGAAAAAGCTGCCAAAGCCGTGAAGGCGCCGGAAGACGAGGAAGAGATGTTGGGACCAGCTCCGGCTCCCGTTATCAAGTTTCGTGCTCTGTCGGCTTACCTAGGAGCGATTAGCATGTACTTCATGCTCTTATCGTCTTCTCAGGACGCATCTGGAAAACCATCTCCTCTGCCGCCTGCTCAACTACGAGCACACCCAGTCATGGGGTCATTAGTCAAGTTCAGAAAGCTCTGGGAGACGGTCAAGGATCTCTCCGTTCCCGAAATCCCCAAGGAGGATGCTACGAAGAAGCAAAAGAGCAAGCAGCACTCAGATGCCCCTCTATCGACAACCAAGGAGCAAGTCCAGAAGACAAAGCAAGAGCAGGAACCGAAAAAGAAGAGGAAGAACGAAAAGAAACTATCTAAAGCCCAGCGCGCAGCCGAGGCAGCACAGGCGGAAGCTGAAGCCCGCAGAGCAGAGAAGCTACGCGAGACGGAAGCGAACCTTGCAGATCTTTCGAAACTCGTCACAGAGCCCGTCAAAAAGCGCAAGAGCCAGAAAACCAAGTCGGCACGGGACGCCGAAGACTCCGACTTTGGTGATGAGGATGCTCTTACCGCCAAGGAGGCCGAAGAAAAAGCCAGGCAGAAACGCTCGCTGCGTTTCTACACCTCCCAGCTTGCACAGAAGGCCAACAAGCGCAGTGCAGCTGGTCGAGACGCTGGTGGTGATGCAGATCTGCCTTATCGCGAGCGGTTGAAGGACCGTCAAGCTCGCTTGAATGCTGAAGCCGAGAAGCGTGGTAAGCAAAGACCAGACAAGATGGAGCAGCTTGGCGGCGACAGTGATGAGGAAGACCATAGACTCGCCAAGCAGATCAGGGGTGGCGGGTCCGGAACCGACGATGACGAGTATTACGATATGGTCGCGGCCCGCACCAAGCAGAAGAAGGACGAAAAGAAGGCTCGCGCAGAGGCTTATGCGGCCGCAGCACGCGAAGGCGGACGTGTGGAGATCCAAGAGGAGATTGGACCAGACGGCAAACGTGCCATCACCTACCAGATCGAGAAGAATAAGGGTCTTGCGCCGAAGCGCAATAAGGATTCCCGCAACCCCCGTGTCAAGAAGAGGAAGAAGTTTGAAGAGAAGAAGAAGAAGCTCGGCAGTATCCGCCAGATTTACAAGGGAGGTGAAGGTCCTGGTGGCTATGGTGGTGAACTTACTGGTATCAAGAAGAACCTGGTCAAGAGTGTCAAGCTATAGATCATCGTTCAATTTTCCGCTTTGGATACATGCACAACGGGCGTTCATTGTGTTCTCTAAAATATGGGTTTGCGTGTACATATATAATCCATCTGATGATATACACCTCTTTCAATCTCTCATGTTCTACTTTCCTCCTGCATCCCCATCCTCTTCACCTTTCCACCTCCCATCAGATGCTCAGTGATGATACTCTGTATCCACAAAGCGAAGTAAGACAATACCGCCTCAAGTAAAACTGAATTGATACCATGAAACTTCAGCGCTATCTCCCCAGGAGATGGACCGTACGTTACTCTTCCGTTATAGCAAAGAGGGACACGAGCATGTCTCTCAGCCCGTCAGCATCGCGAGTGTTCGACAAATCCCAGCCCAGGAAACGCCTCGCTAAAACATCCTAGATTCAGGAAAAATACCATCAGCCTTCCACATCGCCATGGATATGAGATCATCCTACCGCTTCAGCCAGAGTCTCTGTCTCTTCAGCCGACAATGTGGCACAAGCCGCGATCAGGTTTTCGCCGCGAGCAGAGAGAGCTGCGAGTTCATTCGCCCGGTCAACGATCGTTTGACTTATCCCGTTCATTGCTGCGCAGCTGCTCAAATAAGTATCTTTGTATGATCGATATTAGAGAGGCACATACATCGTCCCGAAGCTTTTGTTGCTACGACCTGGACGAAAACTGTGCTCGTCATGAATCAGATATCGTACGTAAAATCTTTGCATTGGCCTCCAGCTTCATTCGGGACCATACTTATAGAGATAGGTGATCTGGTCTTCTACGTGGCGAGCCTCCCCAGAGATGCGAACTTCCATATGTCCAAGCTGGAGCCTAGGCCTTGGCTGTAGGAATCCATTCTCGAATATTTCATGAAAATGCGTTGCCGCGATGACCTTTGGTGCGTCCTCAAGGTTCAGCAAATGCTCGAGTATCCCGCAGGCGAGGCCAATGCCATCTGCGAGTCGTAGTTAAGTTCTAGCAGAGTTCTGGAGATAATGGAGATACAAACCGCTTTCGTTGGTTCCCTTGCCGAATTCATCGATTAGGAGTAAGCTTCTTTCGGTTACCTGCTTCAGGTCAAAGGAAATTTGTTGAAGGTCGTTCATGAATGTACTCTGGATCTGGTGCTAGTCAGCAGCCCGTAACAGCTTATCCTCGTTGCTAGGTCACGAAATCATACCTTTGACACACTCTCTTGGGAGTTCATTCTCACCAGAATCTTGTCAGTTACTCCGATTTCCGCCTTCTCTGCTGGAACGAAGCTGCTACTATCAGTTCGCTGTCACCTAGTATGATTATAGCACATACCTTCCGACTTGCGCCAGATATATGTTGAGAGCAACCTGTCTCTCAGCTGAAGCCTCAGATACATGTTCACTGGAGGTCCATACCTGTTTCATATAGACACTTTTGCCAGAGTAATTGGGACCGGTAAGAATAAGCATACTTGGACCATGGGGGTTCTCCAGCGCCTCCTGTGAGGCTGGACTTCCAGTCTCCCAGCTGCCCCCTACTAAGAATGTATCATTTGGTACGTATGATGGGACTGTCAACTCCTGAAGTATGTGCCTTCGATATGTCAACCATTTAGAATAATACATTACCAGAACGATCTCACCTGCCACCTTTGATTCTGATCATATTCTCCTCCACCATCCTGGGGCGAACCATATTATAGAAACTCGCCGCTTGAGCCATAGCAAGGAGACTGAAAGTATGAGTCTAAATCACCAATATGCGCGTCAATGCATTACCTGTCGAGCTGGCCACACATATCTGACGCTTGCACGAGCACATCCTCATATTGCAGAACCTTCTGCGCAAGATCATAGACAATCTCAATTTCCTTTTCTTGAGAAGCATGAAAGTTAGCTCATCATCGCGGTAAGGGAGATCCTTCGTAGAATACCGCAAATCAGCCCGTATATGTCACCCAAGCTCTGATCCATCTCCCTCATTCTGAAATCCTTAAAGTATGCTCGATTCTCAGTAACAAATATAAGCTCCCAATCATCAGCAATGCCGCTGTAAGCTGCATCACCCCTGTCATTGAGTGGGACTGCAATATTGAACCCGAGCTGGGGAAAGTATATCACGTTCACGTCGATATCGAGGCTTTCGGGGATCGTCGCTGCTATCTCTGTCGCAACTTCTTTCAAGAGATCGTTCAAACCGTCATATGTGTCCTTCATCCGGTCAAGTCCTCGGTCGAGACCTGGTTTCACAACAGTTCTACCTTGGTCTTCTGAGCAATCAATGTCGACCTGGGAAAGGGAATTAGCTGGAGTATCCCCCAGACCCCGAACGGGTTATACAATTTCCTGAATCATCCTTCCTACTCGATACAGTTGACATGCTTCAAATACACGAAGAGCCTGGACTTTCGTTAGTATGTTTGCAGTATTTCCATAGACAGTCGTACCTGAGTACGCAAGCTTAGAGCATCTGCACCGAATGTCTCCTTGAGCGCGTCATGAATATCAATGCCATAGAAGGCGAACTGAGCCATATTAGCCAGGCCCTTACAGAATGCGCGTAAGCGATAGGTTGGCGTACAGCAAGTAGTGTAGCCCAAACTGTCGTCTTGAAGCCGGTGATCTTAGCACTTCCAGTACTGATGCCCTTTCGGAGGTTGACCATCACGGGCCGAAGGTTTTTGATATGCTTCAAGCTCTTCACAATTTTATTCAAAGCATTATAGTTATCCTGCCTCAGGTAGACACTGATGAAGTCGTGCCGCTCGCAGATGACATTCATTTCGACACTCGGGCGAAGGAACAGTTGCCTCAGCCGGTTTCTCCCCTGCGGAGTATGTGCGAAGCGCCGGAACAAGCCATATATGGAGAGGCCTTCTTTCGAGGCTGGTGACTTTCTTCCGGGGCCTTGATTGAGCATACTGGGGTGCGATTCGGACTCCATAATTTGCAGGGCAAGTAAGGTGCTTCTATTGATGAACCTAGAACACTGTCAGAGCGCATCTTGCAATCGGGGACTTGAGTTTCCAGGACTTACATAGTTCCTTTGAGGCTGAACATCTCGACGGAGCGAACTTGATATGATCCAGTGGACCCAAGTGTAGTGATCGAGTCGGTAGTTCTTCGCCTTTGGAGGTATGCGAGGACAGCCCCGGCACAGCCTATGGTGACGGTATTCTCCATATCGATGGAGCTTGCCATGTGCAGAAGCCGTCCCTCCTGAAGTGTAAAACCCAGACTCTCCGCCTCCATTTGCTCCGGGCCAATCAATCCATTATGAGGGACAAAGAACTTCATCCGTTGTTCATGAGCTGACGCAACTTCCAGAGCCGCCAATTTAGCCGTAGCATTGGAATGGCTGAATTCTTGTGACGGGCGTATATCGAGTTGATAAGGCAGGTAAAGATGAGTTCCTACAGAGCCGCCATTCAGCTATATGTAAACGCAAGCATTATCAAGAATTAGCATACCAACGTTTTCTGAGCTTTGTGTTGTATTCAAGTAGTCAACGCGAGCTGAGGTAAGGAGCACAGTGGGCTTCGTCTGTTCGATCACTAGCCTGTTGTCAGTGGTCTCCTCAGGGCCGAATGGGAAGATCATGACCAACAGCTACCAATGGCATCATTACTTGAAGATCGTATGTCTCCTAAAAGGTAGAGTCTTTCTTCCTGAGCTGAGTAGTAAGAGCAACCGACGGTACCAGATTCTCGGACATCAATTGCGACAATGACCTGCTCAAGATCGTCGTCGGATGACCTCTCCAATGAGCTATTACGGAGCCTGTGATCCGTTTTATTGTTTAAATGAAGCGGTCCTAATGCAGAAGTTCTTCGCGAATTGGAGCTGGGATTGTCTGAAATATTCGATCTTTGGCGTAAGGGCAACGATTCGTCCGTACAGCTGTTCCTCGAATTGCGAGAATGTGGTGTAATGTGTGACTGATACGCTGTGCGTCTTCTCTTCGTTTGAGATGACATATTGGACGAGGATTCTCTAAGGCTGCGGACGCTGATGAGATATTATTGATTGAGGGGGCGTTGAACTGCCTCTATTGTTGGCTAGTCTCAAGCCTCAGGCTTCCAGGGTTCATATGGTCTTGATTGCTACAAATTTGAACCACGAGAGATCCCATTCATTAATGCAATTATTTTTTGTTCATGTCACTCATTTAATATACACAAGAGGAGATGCTATTGTACATATCCAGAAAATATAAACTCCATCAAAGCCAAGTGGCGCCAGATCTTGAGCCAGCCAAGAAAAATGCACACAGATGATACACCAACACTGACAAACAAGTAAACTCCGTTAAAGAAATCATGCCTTTTCCTCCTTTGAACCGTCTGCTGCGACTTCAAGCGCGGTCTTGTCCGCGTTGAACGAGATGACGGCAGTTTGTCCCGAGGTCAATTCACCACGAATGATCTTATCAGCGAGCCTATTACCAATCTCCTTGGCTATCAAGCGATTAAGAGGCCGAGCACCATACTTGGGATCATAGCCCTTCTCGCAAAGCCAATCTTTGATCTCGTTGTTGACTTGCAGGACAATGCGGCGGTCATCAAGCCTTGACTGGAGTTCCTTGATTCGGATATCAACGATATCCCGCAACGCCTCTCGTGAAAGTCTCTTGAAGATGATGAACTCATCGATACGGTTGAGGAACTCCGGAGGATAGGCACCCTGCACGACTTCCATAACCGCTTGTTTGATGTCAGGGGAGAGTTCGGCATCGCCGTAGTCCTTGAAGGAATGCAATGGGTTCGTGCCAACAAGGATGTCGGCACCGAGGTTCGAAGTCAAGACTATGAGGGTATTCCTGAAATCGACTTTGTGGCCTTGGGAATCCGTTAGGAAGCCTTCGTCTAGAACCTGCAGCAGCAAGGCGGAGATGTCGCGATGAGCCTTTTCAAACTCGTCAAACAAGAGGACTGCGTACGGTTTCCGTCTCACAGCCTCCGTGAGCTGTCCGGCATCATCGTAACCGACGTATCCGGCAGGTGACCCGATAAGACGGCTGATTGTGTGTTTCTCCTGGAATTCGCTCATATCGAATCTCAAGACGGCAGTCTCAGTCGAGAACAAAAACTCCGCCATCCTCTTGCACAGTTCTGTCTTTCCAACACCAGTAGGACCCAAGAACATGAACGACGCCAGCGGACGATTCTGACCACTCAGACCCGCTCTCTGCATCCGTACGGCGTTTGCAACGGCGGTGAGAGCTTCGTCCTGCCCACGAACCGACTGTCTAAGCGTATCCTCCATGTGGATGAGCTTCTCCACCTCTCCAGCCATAAGCTTGTTGACAGGAATGCCGGTTGTCCGAGACACGACGTTTGCGATATCATCCGGAGTCACAGAGTCGTGAATCAACGTCGTCCCTCCCGCGGCCGCCTCTTCGCCCTCTTTGGGCAGTTTCGCCTCAAGGCTTGGAATTTTTGAATATCTCAACTCTCCAGCTTTCGCAAAATTACCCTCCCTCTGTGCTTGGTCGAGCTCGAACCGAGCACGTTCAAGCTCTTCCTTAGTGCGCTTGAGGGACTCAATCTCTGCCTTCTCCTTCTCCCAAACCTCGGTGAGTTTCGCAGATTCTTCTTGTTTGGCCTTCAAGTCCTCCTGCAGCTTTTCGCGTCGCTCACGACTACTGATGTCAGTCTCCTTGCGGAGAGATTCAAGCTCGATCTGAATAGTAGTAATTTGGCGATCTAATTCTCTGATCACATCGGGCTTCGACTCTTGCTGGAGTCGCAGAGCCGAGGCTGCCTCGTCAACAAGATCGATAGCCTTGTCGGGAAGGAACCGGTCAGTGATGTAGCGGTTGCTGTACGTTGCTGCGGCGACTAGGGCTGCGTCGGTAATCCGCACACCGTGGTGTACTTCGTACTTGTTCTTGATACCACGCAAGATGGAAATCGTAGCGGCGACTGACGGCTCGCCAACTTGGATGGGTTGGAACCGTCGTGCCAGAGCGACATCTTTCTCGATCAATCTGTACTCGTTCAGAGTGGTGGCACCACAGCACTGCAGATCACCTCTGGACAGTGCTGGCTTGAGAAGGTTACTAGCATCGATGCTGCCCTCAGCCTTGCCTAGCCCAAGCAAGGTATGAAGTTCATCGATGAAGAGAATCACGCCACCTTGCGCGTCTTCAACTTCCTTGAGAACAGACTTCAGACGTTCTTCAAAGTCACCCCGGAACTTTGCACCAGCAATAAGCGAGCCAAGATCAAGGGCAATAACACGCTTGTCCTTGATACTTTCTGGAACATCCCCCTGCACAATTCGTTGAGCCAATCCTTCCAGAATCGCAGTTTTGCCAGTACCAGCCGCTCCGATGAGGACGGGATTGTTCTTCGTTCTCCTCGACAATACTTGGATAGTGCGGTGGATTTCCGAATCTCTTCCAATAACTGGGTCGAGTTTCCCTTTCTTGGCCTTCTCCGTGAGATCGACACCGAATTGTTCCAATGCCGACTTCTCTGGCTCGCCGCCCAAATTCATTCGATGTGTACCACCGGGGGGATGCGGTCGTCCATTAGCATAGTGGCGAATTGAAGATATTGACTGCAGGGCGGCAGTGAGGGAAGCTCTAGGCAGGAGAGACTGTGTTTGTGGGAGACAGCGTAATGTCTGGGAAGGACGGAATATACGGTTTGGTGATAGAGCGGGCGTTCGAAGAAGCCGGGCTCGAGCGAGCTGCCTCGACGCCATGGCGGTTTTGGTGGTAGTACGAGCAGCTGAATTCGATTTTCGATCGTAGGTTTCAGTAAGGTACAAGATAAAAATTAAACGCCAGATGTATAAGTCTGTGACTTCCTATATACCCCCAGTACCCGACGGTCCCAATGGAAGGTGATCCATTGGAAGCATCCTGATGCTTCTCGAAAGCTCCACCTTTCTGAGCGCTGTGAGTGGCGGAAGCTCTCCAGCAGAATTGACCAAGCTCCGTCAGCTCCAAGATCACGTGTTGCCCCATCGAGGGGCTTTTTTCGCACCTAACCCGCTTTTGCCCAGGACCCTCCTTGGGAGAAAAAAACTTCTTCTACTGGACACCTCACCCCTCTCCTATTTATTGCTTCTTCTTTCCCCTCTTCATTTCTAACCACACACATATTTTTCAATTCTCTATATCATATCACAATGGGTTTCACCGACTTCGTCTCTGAGGCTGGCCTCACCCGTATGTCTTCTTTTTATTCTTTTGCCTCTGGTCAGTAGCTAATGGTGCCCCTCAGTTGCCAACAACTACCTGGCTAGCAGGAGCTACATCGTTGGGTAAGACTCACAATTTTTGGTCTTTCTTCATCAAATTGTATTCCCCCCGCGCACAAGCTTCACCTCGATTGCATGATGAAAAGAAATTGGTCCGTGTTTAGGAGGCGGATTAAGACCCCGCTGGATGACTACACAACAATTGCGAGAAATCGCGTTTCTGATTACGAGGAAAAATCTGCGTGCTGCTCTGGAGACGAATACAGCTTGTGCTCAAAGAAGCAATACCTAGGTTCGGTTTGGCTAACATGACACAAATAGCAATGCTCCTTCCCAGGCCGATGTTGTGACCTTCAAGGCCTTCTCTGGCGCCCCTGACGCTGAGAAGTACCCTCACGTTGCTCGCTGGTACAAGCACATTGCTTCTTTCGAGCCTGAGTTCTCCAGCCTTCCTGGTGATGCCTCTAAGGCCTACACTGCCTATGGCCCCGAGACCACCGAGCTGCCCACCAACCCCAAGGACAAGCCCGCTGCTGAGGAGGACGACGACATGGACCTCTTCGGCAGTGATGAGGAAGAGGAGGACCCTGAGGTTGTTGCCGCTCGTGAGGCTCGCCTTGCTGAGTACAAGAAGAAGAAGGAGGGCAAGGCCAAGCCTGCTGCCAAGTCCATTGTGACTCTTGAGGTTAAGCCTTGGGGTATGTTTGACTGCTCGTAGTCTCCTATTTCTGACGCGAAACTAATTGCTCTTGTTTAGATGACGAGACCAACCTCGATGAGCTCCTCGAGAATGTCAAGGCCATTGAGATGGACGGTCTTGTCTGGGGTGCCTACAAGTGGGTTCCTGTTGGTTTCGGTATCAAGAAGCTCCAGATCAACCTTGTCGTTGAGGACGAGAAGGTTTCTCTGGACGAGCTTCAGCAGCAGATTGAGGAGGATGAGGACCACGTCCAGTCCACCGATGTCGTAAGTTTCGACCTTTGATCTGACGCCGAGACAACAGATGCTGACATTACCTCACAGGCCGCTATGCAGAAGCTGTAAATGAAATGCCCGTTATGAAGACCAACGGTGTGATGATGGAATATTTATGCGACTTGTAGTGTCATGAAACAACTAGAAGTCGACTGGAGCAGTCTCCAGTCGTTTTGATGAAAATCAAACCCAATGCACAAAATACCCACATTCAATTCTTCTCGTTCTCATTGTAGTGTAGAACTTGCCAGTAAACTTGATATAGAGGAAAATGATTACGACCCGATTCGAGACAAGTGGTAGTTATTACTTGTCGGATCTTAGCCTGCCCTGTTGGACTACAGCTGGCCCTCCACTTCAGGTAGACACACGGCCAGGAAGTCTTCCAATTTGGACTTTCATACGCGCCATACTACTGCCTTTCGTACACCTAGGTGGTATAGGCTCAAGCTGCCTATTTAGAAAGTAATCTATTACAACTGGCTTCTTATCTAAGTATGAAAACACCAAAACCACGAAATCGCAAACTCCCTCTTAACGCCGCTGTACAATCCTGGAATCATTGGTATCATCTTCATACGCCAAATATGCGGGAACTGCGCTGCTGTAACGAGAAACAGACGTTTCACCCACAAATATCACATTCTTTCAGTCCTCAAAGGTTCAATCTTTGTGGGCAGCGCAAATAGCAACCGGTCCTACTTCACATCATTAGCAAGCCCTGGTTGAGTTTTTGTTTGGTTGCTCTGAGCTATTTTGCTTCAGGATGTGTAAATTAGAAGAATAAGAGATACCAGCTTCAAACATTGGAATTTCAGAAGATTTCTCTTGCCCATTTGAATCTTCCCTAACTGGTTCAAGGACACCTTCCTCAGTAGATTCATCAGTGATTTTTTTCGGGCGGCCTGAACGTTTGCCATCTTCCACATATTCCGGCAGAATACGTAGATCAACCGCAGGATTGTAGCCTCGCTCCCTAGCTTTTTTAACCCAGTATTGGATGGTTTGACGAGATAGACCGAGGCTTGCTTCAACCACCTTGATATCAACACCAATGGTTATCATAGTTAAAGCTTGGACCCGTATGGTTATTGGATGAGGCATCTTAGGCTTAGATTGCATTTAGGCGGTCTCAACGCAGGAGGTAGGCAGGCAGGGAGATATGGTGAATTGAATGGGAAAGTTGCATCGAACGCCGCTTATATCGAGGGATCAAAAGGGGCTCTAAATTGCTTTTTCTTAGAAATAATGATAGATCGAGTCACTAGAGGCTACGGCGTGTTGTTTTGATACTACTACTATGTATGGGTGTCTTGCCAAGCTTAGGTGCTGGCGGCCAGCACACCATATTTTGTAGGTACCTAAGTGCATATCATGGTCCTCCGGTCACCCGTACAAACTAGTGCACAATTGGTCGATAACATCGTAGCTCAGTACCTTACATGGAAGCTGTCTAATCCACCGAGAACTGCAATTCTACGCAGGCACTAGCTGCATTCCATCTTTCCAAACGGATTCTTGGATTGCATTGATTGACCGCCGTCCTATCCATAAATCAGACCTCGTCGGGAGAAACCCGCCAAACCGGCCGCCATGGGCTTCATATCGCGAATAATCACACTCTTTGGGCTGGTTCTGCTCGCACATGCGTATGCCACATCTCTTGACCCGCGAACGACTCCAGAAGACTAACAAACTGAATTTAAATCTGCAGAGGCTACTCCGCCCACGAACACACAGTCCTATACAGTAACGTGCGCCTTTCCTCAGCCTCCACCGCGCTTCCCCATGATATCGTCATTGAGGCCTTGGTGTCACTCGTCATCGTCTCCGCGGGCCTCGTATTAGGCACAGAGAAACTCAAGCCGATTAGCTGGAGCGAATGGGCTGGGGAGATTGAGAGGGAAGGCGGCGCCAGGAATCCTTATCTGCGGCTGGAGGAGCGATACAGTTTCTGGGATATCAGGGTGAGTTGACTTTCCTTTTCATGTCAGTTTGACCTGGGCTGATGCAGTACTAGACGAAGAGKAAGGAATTCGCTGAATGGGTTCGGGGGAATGATGCCTTGGAGGAAGCGAAATGAGGAGAATCAATATCTTGAGATGAGGTATATTGATGGTACATTGATACATAGCCTCGATTATAATGGATGAGGACATCTTCCTGCAGCATTATAGATTCTTTCTGTGCTGTTCTTATCATTTTCGAATGCATTCGACGATCATGTCCTGACAATTCCCGGTGTATGCTTCAGAACGCATTTCGAGAAGTGGTCATGCCCTACGGCTTTGACGATAGCCTAGGATGCTACGAAAACCATCTCAATGACGAGACGAAGTGAACTACAGGTCATTATACACGAAAGAACACTCCACAGTATGCTTCGGTCTATGCAGTAGGCGGACACTTCGCTTATGGGGCCATCAATCAGGGGCCGATGCACCACTCATTTGGCTGGTAGGCCGAAGAAGTGGACCGTGATAGTGAGCGAGTGGTGAGCCAGATCCATCTAAACTATACTCCGCATAGCCACGTGTTTGCGGCAAGCTGCTAGCAAAGGGGACTTGGTTCCAACATGGGTCGCTTCGAGAGTTGGGTTAAGGGTCATAAACACAACATTTCGACGAGTTTTCCTTTCCGATGGTAATGTTTTCGTACGGAAGACCGTAGCCAGGCACCCGTCTCATCAGAATCGGAAGATCCATGGAAGCATAACGCCATTCATTTGTAATATGTTGGAGAGGAAAGCTATATCAAATCACCCAGAGACGGAGATTGGTAGCCACGGACGGTACTGCAACTGAAGAATGGGAGGATGATTCGTCCATTATTTCAACTTGCTGCTGAGTTAATGCAAACCCCGAATAATGGGGAAAGAGCTTTGGAGGCCTTATCAGGAACAGAATCTGCCCGTCATTTTGATGTTCAAAAGCATGAGGCACTGCCGGGATCAAGAAGATATGCGGATGAAATCTGTGTGGAGGAGACAATTGCCTCATACAATTAGCCTCCGCGTGGATCTTGCAGGTGTGCGCATGGCATTGGCGCTCTTGCTTGCTGAAATAGCCTTATCTCTATCAATTGAAGTAGCCGATGTCAGGATAATTTTACCGCAAAACTTTGTCATTGAGCTCTGTATGGTAGGGTGGGAATACGCGGGATTATCGCATCCAATATCCACCACTATCCAGAACTCTCACTGCTGCCACTCTCATTTCACCTGGCCGAGCATATCCGAACCCTATTTCTGTTTATGACGAGAATGGCAAAGCTAGCATACTGGTTCGGACTTTTGCTTCCAGACGATAGTCGAAAATCAAGTATGTTGGACGTTCCAGGGGTCGTAAAAGGTAGCCCACTTCCCCTGCCGAGGACGAGCTCTCTTTCCATTTCTGACTGATACGCAGAAAAAGCATCCAGCTGCCATGGAAAACGCAGACACATCGAGCGACGACACTGACGCTGCCTTCCCAGCTTCGTCTGGAGGAGGCGTGTTCCCGTCCCAGCCAGCACATTACGAAAACCCTCTGCAGCGCAAGGTCTCGAAGATCGGGGATGTTGAACTAGCGTCATGTTGAACTAGCGTCTGTCACCGAGGCAGGAGATTATGACGAGAGGGACTTTCACAAGAAACAGGTGAGTGATGGTGTAAATGTGTTCTTGCAGGATACTGATGGCCCGCAGGTGTTCAGCGGATGGACACTAGCTTGGTTTGTAACCTGTCTTATACCTCTAATGGATAATGTTGAACGCTGATAATGATCAGGCTGTCATACCAATCCCTCGGAGTTATCTATGGAGATATTGGGACCAGCCCGCTCTATGTCTACTCGTCCACATTCAGTAGTGAACCGAGTCGTGAAGATGTCCTCGGGGCGGTTTCCTTGATTATCTGGTCTCTCACTATTATGGTCACGGTCAAATATGTTTGCATTGTGTTGAACGCAGACGACGAGGGCGAGGGTGGTACATTCGCCTTATACTCCCTGATCTCCCGCTACGTATGTTGTGGTTTCCTGATCGACGACTGAAGTTCTGTGCTCATTCGAAAAATAGGCCAATCTAGTTCGCCGCGATCCTCGTCATCATAATATGGTTCGCATGCAAAGATATGCTACGGATGACTTACAAAAGCCGAACTTGGTGGCTCGCAATGTTATAGAGCGGAGTACGTTCATCAAGTGGACGTTCAAGGTGGTCGGGGTCTTTGATGTCTCACTGCTGCTGGCAGGTAAGGTATCCTCGTTGAACGCCGTTGAGTTTGTCCTGATTCGATTTCAGATGGTGTTTTGACACCGGCTCAGTCAATTCTCGGGGCCATTCAAGGGTGCGTCTCATATTGCTAGAAGAATGACCTGTTCATTGATTTATCTAGTATTACCGTCGTCAATCCCAACCTCTCTTCCTCGACAGTGGTTGGCGTTTCTTGTGCCATCCTCGTCGTCGTATTCTTAATCCAACCCTTTGGTACGAGTAAAATAGCAAACACCTTCGCACCGATAGTGATTGTTTGGCTGTTATTCAACCTGAGTTTCGGAATATACGTACATTCAACGATATTAGCCTAACTGGCTATCACTAACCTATTCTAGAACCTTGCCATGTACGATGCACCTGTCCTGAAAGGCTTCTCGCCCTACTTTGCCGGAGCTTTCTTGGTGCGAAACGGGCGTGCTGGCTGGCTGCAGCTTGGTGGCATCTTGCTTGCCTTTACGGGTGTTGAAACATTGTTCGCGGATCGCGGTGCTTTTAGCAAGCGGTATTGTCTTTGGTCTTTGCATAAGTTGCGAAGAACCTGATGCTGATTCTTCGCTTAGGGCTGTGCAGATTTCCTGGCTCTGTTTTGTATACCCGTGCCTCATGATTTCGGCCTGTGCTCGAGTCCCTGTACCGAACCCTTGCATGCGATTGTATGATGCTAATGGCCATGACCAGTATGTTGGACAAGGCGCTCATATCAGCCGTGTCCCCAGTGCATACGCCAATCCGTTCTTTCTCACTGTTCCGCCAGGCATGCTGTACCCGAGTCTTGTGGTCGCCGTCCTTGCCTGCATTGTCGCCAGTCAGGCTGTCATCACCGGTTCATTCCAGGTATGACTGTTAGGCCCCTTGTCTCCGACTAATTCTAACCAATGCTGTAGCTTCTGTCGCAAATCATGAAGCTTTCTTACTTCCCCCAAGTCAAAATCTATCACGTCTTAAAGATATTCCATGGCCAGGTCTACATCCCCATCGCCAATTGGCTCATGATGATCGGCACGATCGTCGTGACTGCTGTGTACAACAACGTAAGCCCCCTGATATCTTTATTGATGCGACCGACTCATGATGCTTTAGACAACTGCCTTGGGAGAAGCGTACGGTGCTTGCGTCATTCTCGTGTCCTTCCTCACTACCTGCATGGTGACAGTAGTTGCGCTCATCGTGTGGAGACTGCCCATCTACCTTGTTCTGCCGGTCTTCATCGTCTTCGCCCTGTGGGATGGCATGTTCCTCTCCGCCGCGTTGAGCAAAGTTCCGCACGGTGCTTGGTTCACCCTAATACTTGCAGTCGCCTTGACCCTCAATCTTCGTGCTGTGGCGGTACGGCAAAGACGAACAATGGACTGTCGAGGAATCTGACAATGTGCCACTGTCCCGGACGACGCTCTTGCGCGACAACCAGCTCATTCTCCATCCGGACCTAGGCGGCTCCACCATCACCCCCATCAGCGGGCTCGGTATCTTCTTCGATAAATCTGGCAATTCTGCCACCACCCCAGCGGTCTTCCTCCATTTCATCCAAAAGTTTGGCGCCTCGCCGGAGGTGTCCGCGTTCTTTCACTTACGGCCCTTGTCCGTTCCGACCGTCGCGCCTAGCGAGAGGTACACGGTCATGCGCTGCCACACATATGGCACTAAGGGAGGAAAGCAACCTCTCCCGAACTGCTTCAGGCTTATTGTTCGCCACGGCTACACGGACGAGGTCATCACCCCGGACCTGGGAATCATGGTGCTGGATCAGACCCGAGAATTTCTGGCTCGAGAAACCGGGTCTGTCAATTCGGCAGACGCGCACAAGGAGACTGRCCCTCTTCATCGTGCGTGGAAGTCGCAGGTTATCTATATAGTGGGCAAGGAGCAGCTTCGTATTGCAAGGGAGACCAATTTCTTTCGTCGGATGGTACTGATGGCATTCCTCTGGATGCGAGACGCGAGCAGGACCAAGATCCAGCATCTGAATGTCCGGGCTGATCGGGTGGTGGAGGTTGGATTTGTCAAAGAGATGTGAGAGCATGTCCTCTACTGGGGACGGGGTGCTCTTATCTCCTGACAGCCATTATTTTCTTTTTCTTCGGTGTTCCCGTTATGGGAAAGCCCAAGGCTAGTGCTTGATACCATATCAATGTCAACGTCGGTATAAAGCCAGAGCTTATAGTGTCGCCCGCAGAATTGCCACGCTGTGGATAAAGTCTGGGCGACTCTTCAAATTTCAATACAAGTCTCTGCGATATGTTCCTCTAGTGCTATACGGTGAGGTAGTATGAGGGTTTATCTCKATTCGTGCTGTCTTATTGCCTAGGTATGGTCCATATATGCGGATCTTAGTGGAGGTGCCATGATTTTGAACTCCTCATCTATCACTGCATGAAGTAAATATTAGTCTAAACCTTGATATTTTAAATTCCATTACAAGGACGTTTGCGGGGGCCAGGTGCTCACAGTGCTCTGCATGATGGTATTTGCGTGCATTATCTTAACATCTGCTGGCTCACCAAGGGAGTCCGCGTACGTGTTGCCTCTTTGAGCTTGTGGCTCACTCTTGAACCCGGAAGACTGCAGATTCGGATTAAACTGAGCCACCTATTTGCATGTATCAGATGATGAGGTTATTATGATCGCTGTTTTTATTTTGATAATAGACATCCGGTATCGTGTTGAGTGAAACATGGGCCACAGCAAGCTTCAGCATCGGCGCAGGCAAACCGTGGAGATTCAATCCGTATCCTAATATTCGTCAAGATAGGCTAGACCCCACGTCTGACTGACTCCGATGGAGAGGGGCCAGAGAGCCCACGACAGACTTCAGAAAGCACTGGTAGAGATTAGCAGGACTTGCAAGTCTTTGCTCCTCAGCAGAAAATGTGGGGAGTCTAGCGGAGACCACGGGAATTTGCACACGCCGTTCAGGTACTCTCTGAAATTGACCTTTGAAGTTTTTACTCAAGGTCTGAAGAGTCCTCGGCAGTCTTAGAATCGGTCCTACATCATCAAGACTCTCGAGAATTTTCAGAAGAGACTGGTATGACCGCCGTGATATCCCGGAATCTGAACACCAGCTTGCAAGTAGGATGTGGAATGGTTCCATGTCGAATTTGCTTTGCAACTGGGGTACCTTATTATGCTTATAGGCGTTGAACACCCGTGGCGATAGCCATTGAGATAAACCATGACATCTTGGGCATATTATAAGACTTAGTGACTTGTTACTCGTGTGCATAGCCTAGAAAACATAACTGAATGTAGCCTTCACAGTAAGAAGAACAGCGCATGCAGTGGAATATCAGCCGGAGCTGGTATGGAACAGTGTTCCAGCAACGCAACGTGGACAATGGTGTATCCATTGTATAATGCCTGCTTGACATACTGAGGGGAGAGGACGCCACGATGATGCTCTGATATGTAAGCCCTTGCTCCTTTCCTGGCTTTGATAGCTAATACTAAGGTCTGAGCCAGAAATTGTGAGCACATCATAATCCAGCTAAACCAGTATAGACATAATGATTAGCAAGATAGCTTTCCTCACATATAAGCACCAAAAAATCGACGAGCAGGACCTGCATCTCAACTGTTCAACAAACATGCTTCGAACCCACGCGGGGCGCACATGGGATGGTCACAATCCACACCTAAAGACCTAGTTCCAGGCCATCGAGGTGAGTCGGAACCTGGCCAATGGAGTGGCCAGAGTCCAGACCTTGCACAGCAGGAAAGGGATGAAGGGAAATATCCCGTCCTGACCGTTGCAGACAAAGGCTGAAACCTGCTGTCCAGCAAGAATGTTCCAGATTAGGCGATTGGCATTTGGCAGAATCCAGACCCACAGCTGCAGGCCTGCAACTGCTAAAATTGAATATTCTGTCATAAAAGTGACCTTGATTCAAGCTATCTTAGTGTCAATCAATTACCACAGAATGCTTGATCATTGTGATGATCAAATTTCTGTCTGTCTACGGACTGTAGGTATGGAGTACTTTCATTATTGTTTATGGGTGGGGTGACAGTAATCTTCCCCAGAAACGTTGGATCTAGTCTAGTCCCACCCACAAACTTACCAGACGGCTAGTTTTACTGTCATACCACTCTGCGACAGCTAAGGTAGGTATAAAGGGACTGTAAATGTAATATCTCCTGACTGGACCGGGTTCTTCCATTGACTTGAGATTTCAAGGTTCGGACTGAAGGGTCGAATGAACAAGGGCTGTGTCTGTGACATGGAAGATGGGAAGTGGCTCCATCCTTTTAACTTCCCTTGCATCAGGTAATATTGTGTTAGTGTTAATTGATTGAAGCTGCCCTTGGATGTGAGCTGGAAGACTAGGATACCTTGGCTTGTCAGTTCTCAGAAATACCAACAGCAAATGAGCAAGACTCTACCCGTAGAAAATAGTCGCTTTTCTGTAGTGTCTCTGGTATTATATCTGATTCGATGCTCACACATACGCCGACTCCACCTGGACATAATGTTGCCAAGCTGATGCAGGCATACGTACTTCGTACACGCACGTCCACAGAGACTTGCAGATTCTGCTAACTTCTTTTCTTGTGAGATAAAAATCATTAACCGCACTTCTGATCAAAATATCAATTAACTTTATTCCACCTAAGCAATGATGCTATTTGCATAGCATCTGGCGTCAATTTCAGCGGGTGGCTAGACCGCGTACACTCATACGTGGACTAAGGCCACGAGCCTCACCACGAACTCATCAACGCCTTCATATGAGCAATAATACATAGGTGCTGTTGGTCAGCTCATGTCACACGGTTCGCATCTCACCACTGCAAAGTTCAGTCAGCCCGATTGTGGCGTCGGCTTGGACTGTATGCAGAGGACTCCGTATGCGGCGAAGACCTCTGTTGCTTCTATTCTTGTTTGGTTTGCCGTCCCTCGGTTTCGGACATCTGCATCAACAATTTCATGAGATGATAAAGTAGAAACTACGTCTGATTTAGCAGAGTGACTGCAGAGAGAGGGTGTGTGGCAGGCAGATGGTCTTGGTGGTGTTGTCGATCGAATAATAATATCTGAGCACACATCATAAATAGAGATAAATAGAGGTAATTAGATAGATGACGATGTGATAAATATTCGAGCAAGGGACAAGCCAAGAGAATAAGGAAATAATACTCACAACGAATGGATCAGAGTCAGACAGTCCGGGTCAACAAAGACCTGTCTCATTCAGGGATCTGCACTGTTGCAGTCTTATTGGCTGATGGGCGCCAGCAGTGCCAAAGATAGCAGCAGCATACGCAATCCTTTTACAGCCACTCCGTCCTTTTTCCATCCCATCAAAGGACTTGGCCACAGCAAATCAGCTCTTATTCGAACCTACCTATTTCGCAATGCAGGGCTTAGTCTAGGCTCTCGAGCTTAGGTAGTGTCTCTCCTTCCCGCGCCCTACGGGCCTACTGACTGGTCGAGAAGATGCCAGAAGCGGATCGAGATGCGGTGGCCCTCCTAGTCTGGTGGGTCCTACCGACCCTGTGGCCATTAATATTACTATGAGTCTGTGAATCTCAGACAGGGCTGATGGGAGATGGCAACTGGCAGTGGCTAACTGTTTCTATTGTTATGATCCCTGCTGGGTGGCTCGCCTGGCAGCCTGGTCTCATGTGCCTATTTAAATGCTCCTGCGCACCTGAGGTACCTGGGGTCTTCGCTTGTACCTGAAACTCAACTTCTCATCTACCACGCTCGTTACCCATACACAACTCTACCAGCCACAATCTTCGATAAAGTACATTCGCTTCGGGTCATCTATCAAACTCTACAAGATGCGTTCTTCCATCGTCGTTCTTGCCCTGTCGGCCCTTGCTGCCGCTCAGTCTTCTGGCGTTGTGGTATGTCACGCTTCTTCCATTCGGACTTGCGCTTCAGACCATACTGACATCCTACAGGGAGCTCAGACCACAGGTGTCACTGTCATCGGTCCTGAGGTTAGCGCTACCGCTGCTACCTCTACTGCCACCGCTACTGCCACCGATACTGCCACCACTACTGCCACCAGCTCCACCACTTCGCAGCCCGTGATCCCAACTGCCTCCACCGTCGTTGGATCCAGCGGCCTCCCCTCTTCCTTCTCCACCGTCCCTTCTAGCAGCGGCGTCAAGAGCTCTACCAAGACCCCCTCGACCGAAACTGCCACCGCGACCACAACCGAGTCCACCTCCACCGGCAAGTCCAGCGCCTCCTCCACCAAGTCCAGCTCCAGCAGCTCGACCTCCAACGCTGCCATGCCCATGGCGACCGGCTCTCTCGGACTGTCCGTCATGGCTGGTGCCGCGCTGGCTGCCTTCCTGTAAACGGATCTACAACTGGTCCGCTGCTTTTGCTGAATACCCTCTCATTTCTCGCGCAAGTCCGATTCCTAGTGGCCAGTCGTTAAATAGAGCAATGTATCTTTTATGAAACAAGAAACGGGCACGTTTTCTTCTTTACGTGGTTAATTGCTGGGATTGTATCATGGGTTACTTTTACCGCTTGTCAAAATGCATCAGGCGGCGCACATAAAGATATCAGATATCTTCTAGTTGAAATAATACTAATATTTTGAACTTTATTTTCGAATTCTGAATGGATCCCTCATGTATTGACTGAAGTCAGACCCATTAGTCATATCGTCAAGCAGACTCGACCCTACCATCCCAATCTAGTAAACAACTGCCAGGCCAGCCAGCTGTACAGTACTTTAACACCCTTGTCCACGTCATAATAACTCAAATTGTCTCCCTGGAACCAGGGATCTATTCATTGAACTCATTGACTGATTGTCAAGTTCTACTATAAAACTAGGAGGGTTGTAGTGTACAGACTATCGTCAGTATCCAAATCCAACCCATCCCATAGTTGACTCGCTGTCTGAACAATCATTTTCCGGGGTCCTCTGCAATTGTCTCTCCTATGCCGGGTTCAGGTTCCTTGGATTATGCTCACCGTCAGGTCTGGTGCTGCCAGCCTTTCCCTCGTTTGTTCCCATGCCATGCTCTCCAGGAGAGTCGTGCCCCTTGGCAAACCGCTATTATAACCCTATTCGCGCTACGGGAGGACTTCGGTTTTTCTGCAGTTTGATCCTGCGGTCCAGCAATAGTGCGGCTTGGATTAAAGAGATTTGGATCAGTGTTGGGATATTCGATGACGGAAGTATTAGAGCTTGCTGACAGCGGGCTTCCAGTTACGCTGGGACATATCCCATCCTTCCCATCTCTGCTCCAGCTATAGATCGCAGGACATCCAAGTCTAGTGGCAGCCCTGGATATCCACAGGACTGGCCCCGGGTCTAATTGACGCGCCAAATCAACAGCCGTCGAGTTCAGTCGTGTTGAGTGACTTCCTGGCTGGTTATCCTTGGCGAATCGGGAAGATATGCTTCTTTCGTCGTTAGCTGGCAACGACGTGATAATGATTGCCTAGAAGATATCTCGCCTCACGTTGTTGGAGCCGAGGCATCCCACTTCAGTCGAGTGGACCCGGATCTGCTCGTTTGGAAAGTCTTCGGGCAAGTGGCCGTGTTTCATTAGTCATAATCGAGGACTCAAGCAATCACTGGGGTACCGTGGATTGCGTCTTCGTAAGATCCCATTCCGGAGCCATCTCAATTGCTTTGGGTGGCTGAATGTCGACCAACTTCTCTCCAGTTATCAATGACTGGTCAGGCACGGATCCGTGCCACAAGGAAAAGGAGCTTAAGGTAGATTACCATGACTGTCATGGCGAAGCGGGGTCAGACGAACGTTCTATCATGATGAGCATTAAAAGATAAGTAAACAGATTCGTCAACCATGACCGGGGCTGCGTCCTCAATGTCAGGAGCTTGAACCGTCTTTGCCAACATTGAAGCAAAGCTCTGGCCTACCGCAGCCATGGCATCGTTCAGCGTAGTTCAGATGACCTGAGAGCTGCACCATTGTATCGATGTCTGTGGAGGAGAGAGACGCTTTCCATTGTCATCTGTGTCAATCTGGTCACAGTTTGATGGATCAAAAATGGTGTTTGGATACTGCATATCATAATTGGCCAGAGATTCGAAAGAAGGCTAGATGTGAATTTCCTGATCGCCAGCTTTGAAAGACAGTAAGCTGTTTTCTAGCACTACCCAGATGGGCTAGCAACATAACTCACAGATCATTCTACTAGACTCGCAACATTGAGGATCTCGGCCACCCTGTAATGGCATCTAGAAACTCCGGATCTGGCAGAGGGAGATTTCCGCGCGTTCACCGATTGAAACCTGACTGGACTGTATTAGGTGAAGTGCTCAAAGTGGCTGGAAAATTCTTATAAGTCTTCATGGCGTAGGTATCCAGCTCTTCATTCCGAATGTCAAATCTCCACAGTCAACGGGGCCGTCTCACTGTGGTCCGTATGTGATGTCGGGAAACTTATGAGTTTATGAGCCTTTGTCGTTGGGCAAATATAGGAACCTCTATCAACCCAAAGGATACTCGAAGCCTTTTCTTGCTTGGTCAAATGCCATTCGTCCAAGTCCCGGCTACACCTGTTTCAGTGGCGCGCATGGTGATCCACAGAGGATGTAGTATTCAGCAAAGATGAGGTAGCATAGCTTCGATCCCCGTCTGAGTGTACGGTTGCGCTGGTCAGTGTTCTGTCGGACCTAATTTCGCCTCTTGCCCCGAAGTCGAGGAGCCAGTTCTTGTTTTTGTCCGCGTGCTTGACTTTGTTGATAACCAGGTCAGAGACCTGCACGTCGGACAGTTTCATATGTGTGGCGGCTGTCATGAAGGTTGCTTGAAACTAGCCCATTACCTAGGGAAGACAGATTGAAAGCAAGAATCTGGGGCGCAAGTATGATTGTATTTTCTGCGCAGGGAAATAACATGGAGATGACTGACTGTAGTAATAGTCATTGTCGTAGGCATCGGACCAAATGCATCAGCTTGGGCGAATCGTCGAGCTGCTAGTCCCAATGACCGGAAGCTTGGAGCAGGCGAAGCGAGCAGCGAGAATCTTTACATATAGAGCAAGATGGAGAGCCCTGCCCTTATAGGCCGGAGCGATCACACAACTCTGAAAGGGGTCGACAACCAGTCCATGAGTCTGTAGGAGAAGAGCACCTGACGGGCGTTGCGAATCGAGTCTCTTCTCTTTCGGCTCGCCAGTTTTGCCTCATCTCTGTTATTAGCTTGAGTAGCTGTATATGTGGTGAGGTTCCTTGCTGACATGTCATCGAGAACCATGGAGTGGCTTTCTCATACGCCGAACTAGATTGTCTATCATGAGATGGGTCTTGTGGTAGACTCACAAGAAGGAGCAGGGAGATGGAGAAAGTCTACGCATAAGACAAGTCTCAAGGGTCATCATTCACTTCATGCTGGAGAATGGTTGAATTAGGGATTTAGTGAATATTAGGTATATCTTACACATATGTCCTAGAGGGAATATCAGAAAGTGTATTGATATGGCTTTGCTAATGTATGCACTGAGAAAACTAAGCAAATGTTGAGGCTGTATCCTCTATCATGTTACATTATACTCTACAGTATTCTTAAGCTTAACTACCTATTCGAATGCCCCCTTTTCTTAGAAATGCCACAGTAACAGCTTCTTGTGATGTGCCATAGTGTATAAAGCCGTGAATGGAGTAAAAACAAAGCCAAAAAGGAAGCATCATTGATCCTGGTCAAAAGAACCACTCAGCTTCAAGCCAGGGCATGAGGTGAACCGACGCGGTCTTGCATCTCTTCATATTTGTTTTCCTGTACATAAGGTAGTCCCATAGTCTGTACGAACTATCGAGTACTGCAGTATCTATTGATAAGACCATGGTTAGACTGTAAGATTCGAGGTTTCTCTTCTGCCACGTATGAAATTGACCGTCTATCTTCCACTGCTCATCACTTATGTCAACTGAGAAGTCCTCTGAAGCTCTCTCGGCGAGTCCTATGCCCCTTGGTTAGACTTGGCTCATACAAGCTCCATACTAGGTACGCTTATGTAGGCTGGACTGGAAGTGGTTACCGTTAGCAAGAGAACCTGGAACCTTACCCTAAACCCTAATTCTTAAGGGTTACTGATGTTATTGTTCAGCAATCATAAGTACTGACACCAGCAAAGTCTGTCACAGTAGAACGTTAACTAGATGAATTATGAGGTTAGTATCCAGGGATATAGATAATATTGTTGCCTTCCGGTATTCCGTACCTGATAGGACCTCAGGTTGCTAAGCCTCCTTCCCCCAACTAACGGCTCTCCACCATCCTCTGTACAGGCACTGGTGGATTCATGAACGGCTCATGATTGGAGGCTGGGCCCCACAGATAGACCAGACATACTCCACATATATTACTTCTTTGTTCGAGAGGTAGAATAATAGATAACCCCAAAGAACAATGGACAAGTCGCAGTTTGGAGCTAGCAGGGGTCGCCAATGCCATTAAGTACTTGTCGGTGGATGCTCTCCTATTTTCTCTCTCTCCTCGCAACTAGACGAAGGAAATTAGTAAGTAACAGTCTCCAACTCTCCATCCATTCCTCATCGTCGAAAGGATCCTGCTAATCTTGTCGACTGCAGTGCTGACTACGAATTCACAATTGACCCACCCGCAACATCCTCATCATTGAATTCATTTCTCAGACCATGGGCACACCGGCCATGGCTGCTGCAAACAGAAAGGAGTCTGATACTCCTGGCTGGCTACACMGACAGGGAACGAGCGTGTTGGGCACAGTGGCTAGACAGGCGTGTAAGCAACCAATCTACACCTTGGTCCTTACCGCTCTACTAGCGACTATGACCTACACGAGTCTGCTGGAAGGGAGTATACACAATGTCAGTGTTACGGCGCCTTCAGAGAGTCAATTCAGCCAGCAAGATGTTACAGACTTTCTTCAGAGGAGCCGTAGCCTTCGTCTCGGAGAGGCGACCGCCTGGCGATGGAAGACGGAGGATGACTCGATGAGCGACCAGGAGGTGAGACTGTTTTCTTCTTCAAACCAATGAGCAATCCACTGACTTCATCTTTTCTGGCAAGCTAGGTTGCATCACACTTGGCTTTGATTACGCTCATGTTTCCCACAGGTGAAAACAACCCAGAAATGTCTGCCGTCCAGGAGAGTGTTATTTCGGACTTGACCGCTGCACAACCCGTCTCTCGAACGCCTAGTGTTTTATCCTCCATCTTGAGCGAAGCTTCAATTACTCTTTCTGTGCCATATAACTACCTGGAGGAGGCTCTGCGCAAAGCTAAAAGCTTTCCGAAGTCACAGGGTGGGCATTCGTCGCAAATTTGGACCGTGAAAAACGCCAGAAAAGACAATTCTGGCGGGAAGCTCAGGCTCTGGCTGATAGACTTCTTGGCCTCCTTTGCCGATTTGATCAAGGTAGGTCTGCTTCTAATCCGTCTAGGATTGTCATGCTGTCCGATCATAGGCCGCTAACGAAGTCAGCACGCGCAAATTGTCGATATCATCATCATGTTGTTTGCATACCTGACGATGTACCTTACTTTCCTGTCACTCTTCATATCGATGCGCCGACTCGGGTCCCGTTTCTGGTTGGCCTCCTCGGTGCTGCTCTCTGGCTTCTTTTCCCTGTTCTTCGGACTAAAGGTCACTGCTAGCTGTGGTGTACCTAGCTCCATGATCCTTCTTTCAGAATGCCTGCCAATTCTGGTAGTCATTGTGGGGTTCGAGAAACCCATCCGTTTAACGAGGGCCGTACTGCATGTTGCGACCGAGTCCCACACTCCTGCAAAACCGTTGGCACGGCGGTCCATACCCGAAGCAATTGAGGTGGCCATCAAGCGCGAGGGATGGCGTCTCGTGCGTGACTACGCTATTGAAATTGCTATCCTGGCGGCAGGTGCAGCCTCGAGGGTACAAGGGCCTCTGCCTCAGTTCTGCTTTCTTGCGGCGTGGATCCTCGTTTTTGACTGCCTGCTCCTATTTACCTTCTACGTCAGTGTGCTATGTGTGAAACTGGAAGTCACGCGCATCCGGGAGCATGTCAAGCCGCGTAGGACCGTGGAAGACGATGGTATGACCACTGGTAACCAGGATTTTGACTCCCGTATCTTTGGCTGCCAGGTCAAAGCTGCAAATGTATCTCGGTTTAAATTTCTCATGGTTGGTGGCTTCGTGCTTTTCAATGTGCTTCAACTGTCGTCCCTGTCTTACGGCAATGTCAGGGTTTTTGACTGGATGCCGTACCTCTCGAGCCTTTCTAACATTCTGATGCCTACCCCAATCAACCCTTTCCGAGTCGCAGGCAATGGTCTGGACGATATATACGTGGCTTCCCGTGCGAGTAACATTGAAACGCGCGTTACAGTGTTGCCGCCGATCAAATACGTCCTGCAGTCGCAGGCTGAGCCCTGTGGGGATGATTTTGCTGGTCCGCTCTTCGATACACTACGCGGCCGTACTCTTGGGGGTGTGCTGGCATGGATAGAAGATCCAGCCATCAGCAAGTGGGTAATTGCTGCGTTGTTCCTGAGCCTGGTACTGAACAGTTATTTAATGAAGGCAGCTCGCTGGAATCTATGCGAGCATGAGGTAACCCCAGACAGCTCTTCTGCAACCGCGAGCCAGTCAAAAGACTCTTCCAAAGGGTCTGAAAAGACCATATCAGGGTCTAGCGAGCTGATAAACACGCGAAAACGCGAACAAATAGACTCCATGCTACAAGGAGGACGAGCATCGCTATTGGAAGACGAGGAAATAGTCGAGCTATGCCTCCGCGGCAAAATTCCTGGTTATGCCCTGGAGAAGACGATGGAACGCCATCCCATGATGAGCCGCCTGGAAGCCTTTACCCGAGCTGTCAAGATCCGCCGCGCCGTGGTGTCTCGTACCCCGTCCACTCTTGATGTGGCAAGTGGCCTAGAGGATTCAAAGGCTCCCTATCAGAACTATGACTATACCGTAGTCCATGGAGCCTGCTGTGAGAATGTCATTGGATATCTGCCACTGCCAGTGGGTGTGGCTGGACCCCTCGTAATAGATGGTCAGAACTATTTCATTCCAATGGCGACTACTGAGGGAGTACTTGTAGCCAGCGCGAGTCGCGGCTGCAAAGCGATTAATGCTGGGAGTGGTGCTGTGACCGTCATCAATGCTGACGGCATGACTCGGGGGCCCTGCCTAGCATTCCCATCCCTATCTCGCGCAGCAGAAGCCAAGCAATGGATTGATTCGGACGAAGGAAAGAAGATCCTGACTACGGCGTTCAACTCTACCAGTCGATTTGCTCGCCTGCAAGGCTTGAAATCCGCGCAAGCCGGCACCTACCTCTATGTCCGATTCAAATCGACGACTGGGGACGCAATGGGGATGAACATGATTTCAAAAGGAGTTGAAAAAGCCCTTGAAGTCATGAAAGAGCACGGATTTTCTGACATGGCTACTATTTCAGTGACAGGCAACTACTGCGTTGACAAGAAATCAGCCGCGATCAACTGGACAGATGGACGGGGCAAGTCAGTTGTCGCTGAGGCTTTGATACCGGGGGATACGGTGCGCTCCGTGCTCAAGACCGACGTGAACGCACTTGTCGAACTCAACACAGCAAAGAACCTGGTCGGCAGCGCCATGGCTGGCTCTATTGGCGGCTTCAACGCCCATGCATCAAACCTGGTAGCGGCGGTATTTCTAGCTACAGGGCAAGACCCAGCGCAGAATGTCGAAAGCAGCAGCTGCATCACTATCATGAAGAAGTATGAGACCTCATTGCACTGCATCCTGGCCTGACTAATGGGTTTATCTAGTGTCAACAATAACCTCCACATCTCAGTATCAATGCCGTGCATTGAAGTAGGAACAATCGGCGGGGGAACCATCCTTGAAGCGCAAGCCGCTATGCTCGATCTGCTGGGTGTTCGAGGTGCCCATGCAACCAACCCTGGAGATAATGCCCGCCAGCTGGCCCGCATTGTCGCATCGGCCGTGCTGGCAGGCGAATTGAGCACGTGTGCTGCTTTGGCGGCGGGCCATTTAGTTAGTGCTCATATGGCTCATAATCGCAGTAAACCGGCGGCAAAGACTGCATGAGTACTTGCAAGATCTAGGATGACAGGTGTGTCAAGAGCATTGAGCAGGTGCATACAACCATATGATATGGTAAACAGGGTTTCCCTCTTGTCAGCATACTTAAGCCACATATTCATCGCATCAAACCCCAAACCTCATCTGCCTCTGAAACGGCAGCGTCATACGTTCAGTATAAGTACCGGTAATGAGGATATATGGGGTAATGATGACTTGGTTCAGCGGCCCACTATCAGAAAATGGTGGTATAATGGTATTCAAGGGTCTGCGGCCTTCGGATACGGAATGGTGTCCGAATTCGTACTCACCCTTTTATTTATATAGAATAATTCGCTCGCCAGTTTTCGTCCTCTATAATGCTATGTAACTTTATAGCCGTAGATTCTCAAGATACTAAAGAGCGTCTGTAAATATGGCTGGCGGAGGTAGATTGTTTCAGCTGACCTAGCAAGGGTCCTAGACCTCCCATGTGATGACAGAAGGGTGATATCGCATCTGCCTAGTTTTCCTCGGATTTCAACTATATTTCAGATCTTCCAACAATCTATCAGGTTGGCAAATAAACCAGTCTTCCGTCTGCTTTCATTATTATGACTATCAATCAGCCTCCCTTACAATCAATACCATGGATAGCAGTGATTGTCGCACTTCTTCTGTCCGCGACATCTGGCTTGAGTGTTTGCCAGGAGTGTAGACCTCCAGAACTGCGCAATGCTCCTGGTATTTTTTACTCATCAAACAAGTTGAACAAAGGCTAAGACTTGACCTGCTAGGCGTGGGAATCGACCTCACTATGGCATATGGGTAAGCGTCCCTCCTTACCCATTCATAGTTCCTCATAGTGCTAAAGTGTTGCCCCGCCCAGAATTGCTGCGATCCACTTCAAGAACGGCACCACTCGGGATCTTATCAAGGTAGATGGCACGCAGGAGTACCTGTCAGCAATGAGAATAATCGCGGATGATGCGCAAAACGTCCGAAATGGGATGGAGTCGTCAATGTGGGAATGTCTTCTGCTGTTGCTGGAGATTTGCTGATGGTAAGCGTCTAGGAAGACAATCTGGCTTCCTCGTAGGAAGCAGAAAATCAATTGGCGACTAGCCAGGGAATGGTACCGCTTCATCTCAGAGAAACTACGTCAGCTTATCAGCCCACCAGTAGTACGAACCGAGGAGTTACCTGACGACTGGATCTACACTATAGCTGCTTTGCTGTCTGAGATAAAGTCTGCTGCCCTGGACACCCTGGTCCCTCCATTAAAATATAACGACGTGTATCTTACATGGCCTGACTTCGAGGCTGACACCGGCCATAAATACAAGAGTCGCTTCGAGCTTGCGTGTCGCCTAGCAGGTCTAGAAGGTATCGGCGGCAACGTCGCTTCATCCCACGCCTTGCGACATGAACGGACATACGAATCGGACCTGGACGCCATGCTTGTAATCAGCTACAACCCTGCCAGTCTCGGAATCACACTTAACACGCCGATGGATGGGGATAGAGATTTCCCCTGGCCCTTGCGGCTTGTTGAGGATGGTGGCCATGCAGCGGAACATGAATTACTCCAAACCGATCCGGTAAAATACTGGCGTGAAGTTCGAGACCTGCTGCGGACAGTGATTGGGAATGAGACTGTCGATTACCTTCTTCTCCTTGGCTCCCATGCACGCGACCCTGGCTTGTTCCAGGCCGTCAAGGATGTCTTGGAGGGTCAACCGGACATCGATCTATCTATCCTAGACCGCTATAATCCAGCTATCCCCCACGACAGTCAGGATGAAGACGAGCCGCTGTTCATGTTAGCAAGAGCAGCAAGCATGGTTGCTAGAGTTGGCATGGAGACTGGTTTCCAATACTGCATTGAGTTGCCTTCATGTATTGCATTGAAAGAGGAAGAGGATAGGCATTCTGAGTTGTAATGCCTCGAGATCAAAATCAAGAACAGTTTTAAGGAACAGGCACGAGTTATTTTATTTACTGTCTCTATGGTTAGAACGTAGTCAGGAGTCGACCAATCTGGAACAAAAGCTCCACATTAACGCTGTTGTATCGATAGGGAAGAAGGCCCAGTGCTTTCAATGATTCAGAAGAGATAGTAGTTGGTAAATTAAGATAGCCCCATGGAATAGCATCCTTCACCTTCGAATATATCAAACACCCTGCATCAGGTCATTATTGAGACATTCGCGGTCTAGAAACTCTCGTTGACAAGCACGGCTGCAGCCCTTAGTGTCGGTTGGATGGAATGTTTGTTGATAAGCACCTGGGGCCTGCCTAACTTATGTAAGCCATCTCTGCAGATTAACGTCGATGAGCTCCCGTTTACGGTCTGATCTTCTCTCTTTCATGCTTCGAAATGGCTTCGATACTTACAAGAGGAAGAACGATCGTCGGCCGATATCGAGTGACGTTCAATCACGGTTTGCTCCCTGTTCTGTTGAAGCAACGATCATCTAGTAGTTATTCTACAATGAGTGACTCTTCCGACCTGTTCAATTATACTTCTGGACGATGGATGTACGTTAAGACCCATGAGTTCCATGCCTAGATTAATGGAACTTCAAGTTACAACGAGACTTTACGTCTTGCGGAGCGACAACCGTTCTTCAACGCCGCCCAGCTGAATCGCATTGCGGCTGCATCCATCGGTCGTCCGGAGCAGGATGTATCCTGTATTCGAAAGCTAGCTGAGGGAGGATTCAACCGTGTCTTTGAAATTACTATGCGAGACAGTACTCGAGTTGTCGCACGGCTTCTGTATCCGTCGACCGACCCCAGAATTTATGCGACAGCGAGTGAGGCGGCAACAATGGAGTTTTTGAGATTACATGGCGTTCCAGTACCGCGTATCCTCGCCTATTCCGCTACCGATCAGAACCCTGTTGCTTCCGAATACATCATCATGGAGAAAGCTCCAGGAAACGAACTTGGGGAGCTTTGGTATACCATGACAGAAAGACAGCGACTGAAGATGATATTCGAAATCGTGAAGATCGAGGCACTGCTGTTTTCCATACAACTGCCTGGATTTGAGAGCATTTACTACGAGCACGATCTTCCTCCTTGCATGCGAAGAATAGGGGTACCACAAGCTGGAGGGAATGGAAGGTTCTGTGTTGGGCCGGATGCACATTACATGTGGTGGCAGAAAGGGCGATCTTCCCTATCCATAGAAAGGGGACCACGTAAGTCGACAGGGTTCCACGCTTCGTTCCATCTCTAACTTGGATATAGTCTCAGAAACTGGTGACCTTTAGAATCTGTTGCGAAGCGGGAATTGGAATGGCTCTCCCATTTCGGTCGGGCTCGGTTTCCCTTTGAGCGACTATACAGAGAGCTATATGCGTACCAAAAGGTCCATCCTGATAGCCACGTTAGAAATCTCCGGGATTATTTACAAATTGCTCGCCATCTGTCTCCAGAGAAAAAGAGCTTCCTCAATCGGCCGATGCTCCGCTACCCTGATCTACAACCCAACAACATACTGGTTTCAGATTCATTTGAAGTGGTCCCCTTAATAGATTGGCAACATTGCTCCATTCTTCCCCTTTTACTTCAAGCCGGGCCCCCGAACTACTTTCAGAACTACGGCGACGCGGTATCCGAGAACCTCATCAAGCCCCGGCTTCCTTCGGACTTTGATCGACTCGGGAAAAACGAACAAGAAGCCGCAAGGATGATTTTCCAACGACGCCAACTCCATTATTACTATTTTGCCGCCACGTCCAGATTCAACGATGACCATTTCAGCGCATATATAGAGGACGAAGTAGTCCCGAAGCAACAACTATTTCAACATGCGGGCGATCCTTGGGAGGGAGACAGTGTCACGTTAAGAGCTGATCTTATTCGTGCCACTCAAACCTGGCAAATGCTGTGTGGCTCGACAGATGTCGTATGTCCACTTCACTATTTCCCTGAAGAGATTGATGGGTGCCTACGGCTTGAGGAGGAGCAGCGATCTGCAGATGACGACATGGAGAAATCTCGAAATTGTCTCGGGGTCTCGAGTGATGGCTGGGTCCCTACAGAGAGGTACAGTGAGGCTAAGAGGATGAGCGAGAAATTCAGAGAAGATGCAATTCTACTGGCAGACTCCAAGGAAGTCGCGGCACAAATACAGCGTCATTGGCCATTTGACGATTACGACGAGGATGAGTGATTGCAGTTTCACTTTCTGGGATTTAATTTATTTCGAAGACGGACCTGTAAGGTGTTAAGGTATATCTGTGCTAAGTTCAATAGTTTAATCTAAATAAGACATCCTGTGAAGAGGAGATAAATCTAAATCAGCTGTTAGAAAGGTGAAAACTCTCTGTGTATACAGAAGTATGGAGGGATAAAGTAGGGCTTTAGATTATCTGATCCTTATTGCAAGCACCTTGCATTAGCTCCCGCCGCTAGCCCCACTTAATAATCTAATTGAAATTTAGACTTTTGCCAGAAACGTGATCGTGTATACTTGACTTTGGTCCCAAAACATCAGGGTTCAGTCGGAGCAATTTCGTCTCCTGAAGAAGCTTAGCCCCAGTATATTTCCAAGATTCGCTACAGGATACCAAAATCTAGCAAAATTAATAAGCGTCCTGCATATACTTCAGCTTAATTGGGATAATGTCCGTCTATCCGATTTTCTCCCTGGTCTTTTAGAGATACCGGGGGTCCGATTTAACTACCAATAAAATTTACTACTGGCTTTTCTGATTATCTGCAAATGAGGCAGTTACGATGTTCAGTAGTCCCGTCTGACTTGGGAGAACAGATATTTCCAGAGCTTAAGCCCCAGGTCCTTACAGACGGGGTTCCCCATCATGGCTGATGTCTTCAGTTCCCGCAGATGCGGGATAATATGATTAAGGCTGGAGATGCACTAGGTGATGATAAGTGTCTCATGTTGTTGTGTGATTTTAGGATACTTATTATAGCCGTGCGACGTTACTCATCTAGAGAGCTCCATGGATCCACGGAACTGGATGTTACTGAGATATTTGGGAAGTGGAGCTGGATACTACGAAGCTGTCAAGACTGCTAATTTTGATAAATGTGCGGTGATAGAAGAGGGGGAGAGACCTCTACTTTGGGATATCATGGTAACGGAAAACATTGCGTGGGATCCGGTAGCAATACCGTAGTGCACCTTATAAATTGTAATTATGCGACCTTGAACAAGGAAGAAACTGTTTTATTCAGCTTGAGGCATAATGATTACGGGTTTGAACAAAAATCGGGCGCAGAAACAATCAATCCAGAAGATGGCAAAAGAGACCTGCAATTTCGCACACTGCAATCGAATGCATACTGCTCCTTTGGCAATAATGGACCATTGACTGGAGCATTAAAATGAAGCATGAGCTGTATGCCCAGGACTAACAACATGGAATCAAACAACACGACTATCCTGATATCAGGCGTCCTTGAAAAAAGCCGTCCGATGATAAGGAATAGACGTCCCCGGCGATCCCCAGAAGAAAGGCGTTCTTTGTTTCCCGCCCTTGAGCTCTTGTCTTTGGTTTTGCCGTCGCAGTTCTCTCTCTCGGGCTAGAGTTCTCCTGCTTCGGGCCCGACTGCGGCGCCTTTGGGCTCTCCGTTGTTTGGCTTCTTCGGTGAGACCAAACAGTCTCTTGAACCAGTCTAGCATGATGATTGGCTGTATGCTTTGTTCTGATCCCCTGTACTATTAGATGCATAAGAATATATAAAAGTAAGGTTTTGGGTAAATGGTGGCCTTACCGTTTGTGCTTGAAAGAGAGCTGTGGAGAATCAGTAGCGGGGGATGCGGCAGGTTATAAGGGCACCAGTGGCTGGGCTTTAGTGAGTGTCTAGCGGCAGTGCCCGACCTTGACTAAATACTAAATTTCATGTAATAATAACAAAAAATTAATGCAAGCTCTTTAGGGCAATAAATAATTATTCTGAAAGGTTCGACACCTTGTTTCTTTTCAGTCTCTTTCATTTATTTACATTTATTCTTCTCCCACTCCTTACAGAGATCGATTCCATCCCTCTCACACTACTCCAGCTGAAGTGAACTACAACACCGCCATTTATCTGTATCAGTTGCTTCTCGTCTCCAGCTGTGGATCTGAAAATTCCATCAAAGAATCGTGAAGCTTCCGGTACTGCCATTTTGGCGTAATCCAGAACATGAAACCCAGAACCCAGACATATCCTATGATTTTCCTCGCAATACCTGACCTGAAGAGCCAACGAACCCTGCCATTCTCACTCTCCTTCATAGCGTGTTCTAGCCTTTTCCCTATTGCTGACTCGATAGCCCCTGCAAGGAAATTGGCAATGAAGAAGAGCATGTCGTCAATCGGGTAACATGGCTCCCCCGCTGCCCAATCCGCGACTACATGGAAAATACCGGACAGCAAGAACGTCCAGAAGGCGATGAAGATTTTCTCATGCTGCGAGCCTGGTTGAAGGACTGCTACGCGTCGTGAGATCATCCTGCCAGAAGAAGCACAGGGCGCAACAGTCAGTCGGTGCCAGAATTTCGTCCAGAAGCGGCGAATGCTGTATGCCTGCAATGGACTGCCGAATAATGGAGTCCAGTCCTCCGGGTGATCGAGGCGCAGGACGACAACAAAGAAGAGTGCGAGCACTGTGTTGCACAGCTCAAGCATCAGATATGCAATCCAGATCCAGTACACCGATACATAGAATCGGATCTGCATCTCGCGGGCTGTGAACGCCGGCTCTGGCTGGAGGGAGAACAGCCGCCGGATAAGGATTTGTCTCGAGGGCGCAAAATCCTCAGCATTGAAGGTGAAATGAATGGACAACAACGGTCCGACAATGGATAACTGGAGCAGCCAGCAGATCACCGTCCAGGACAGGCGCCGGAGAGAGAACCATATCCTCCTGCTGGTGGAGCAGGTTTCTTCCCTGCGCTGGAGAGCTATCCGGTTGAGGTGACGCTGCGGGTCGTTCCAGATCTTGTAGGCAGAGATCCAGGGAGACGCAGTCCTGGGGATGCTTAGCTGGTCAATGTACAATACAGACGCGGCATGGTGTATCCAGATGCAACTGAAGAGAGCCCACAGTACATTCATACCAGTAAGCCATGTTAAGTAGTGACTGGTCTGTAGTGACAATACGGCACTACCAAACAGCAATGGTGCAACATAGAGCCGATCCTTGTATGGTAGATGGATTGCTTTGAAGAAGGCAGCGCTTGAAAGAGCAAACAGTGCAGGGGGCACAAGTGACTCGACTGGTGGCATCTCGACTCTCCTAGTTTGCTCTGCTTGCTCAATTCCTCAAGCAATATTCAGCATCACCCCTAGCAATGCGGGCAAATGACGACAGCGGCTGGCTATATACGTCTTTCCTATACATTAGAGCAGCTTCCTGTCTGGTACAACTGTCCTACACCATGGTCTTTACCTGAACCACAGTTTACTTGAGGCATTGCCCATGTCTCCGGCCCCAGGCCTATGCCGCTCCTCCTTCCCTACATTGACCCCACTACCTAACCAACACTCGGGATCGATTTCTAATGGCTCAGTGCCCCTCCCGCCGAGACACAGCCGTAGGGTCAATGGCCAGCAGGGATCTGCAAACTGTTGAGACATCGGGGGCGGTTTGATAATACCTCTCGTAACCCCGACCACGGATATTCTCCGAAGAGATACCGAAGATTGCCGGATACAAGGCCAGATGGAGGCTGGAGCCACCCTACTTGCTGCATCATGCCCGTCCCTCTCATCATAGTGGATATTATCGCGGAGCGAAACGTACCTAGCTGCAGGTCTTATTGCACCATGAACCCCTTTCAGGATCTTTCTGTCTTGGCACTCAATATGATTGGACCAACACATTTTCTAGTCTTCTGATTGGCTTAAAAAAAGAATCACGTGATACCTAATACCCTTAGTGCCTTAGGTACCTTTATATCTCGGCACGGCATCTGAATAAGAATCAAAGCAGTTGGTTAAATATCCACTGCCTAGCATAGGTATTGTTCGCTCCACAGGGCGCAGGCCCTGCTGCCGTACCCGGTCGCATCCTTGCAATCAGCTACACCTAATAAAAACATCAACATTGCTTGGCCTGCCAATCTGCTGCCAGAAAGTTTGTTGGCACGGTAAGTGGATAATGAGGCTGGCGGGCGGCGCCAGGGGTCCGAATCCTTAGATCTGAAACGTGGACTGGGCTAACTAATAACATTATGTTTTAGTTGTTGGATTACGTAGGTGGATAATGAGGCTTGCGCCCGCTAAGGGTAAATTGAACTACATGCTGGGACCTGGCTAACATTTTTGTATGTCTTAGTCGGGCGCTTCCCCGGAAGATAGCCCTGATAGTGTTGCGTTACACGGGTAACAGCCTAACAGGAGTACAGGCCCCACTAAAAACGGGGGAGCTTTCTCTGAGATTAGCCTATCACAGGCTGAATTAGTTTGAAGATATATGGCCCGGGCCATCTCCATCTATATCCAAATGAGTTGCCTCTGCGCCGACTGAGGTTTCAATGCGCACATTCATACTATCATAGAGAACCTGGGTAGCTTGTCTCCTTCTATCTTTACAATTTATACTGCCTCTCAAGCGGTTAAGACCTAATCTTTGTAAAGCTATCTACTAATAGTGGGCCAGAGATGATCTGATTCCAGCACGTTTCTAGACATAGGCTTGCTCGTTTGCCAAATAGAGGAACCATACACGGAGGAGACAATGTTTTGCTAATAACCTTGTACTATAAGCTCGGCTAATTCCCGTGATGCCCCATAACCAACAGCCATAGCATAGCCACTTGTATATCCATTGAATGTAACCGTGATACGTACAATTGACTAAAAGACAACCCCTGCAATGAGCAATCCAACAGGAATCAACGGGGTATCCTTCACGAGAAGGCTCAGCCATCCAACATAGGGCACATAGCCTCGAACTAATCCAACGACATTCTCCCGATACACGAACCTCTGTCCCGTGGGGTAAAGGCTAGAGTCGTCATGGGCATTGTTATCGCCCTTAGTCAAGATGTGTTGCCTGTATCATGTCAGTCAGTGCTGCTTTGCAACTCTGTCAGTTATAATGGAACGTAAGGTGGGTACTTTAGATTGTTCTCCCCGTTCAGGACCTCGTAAGACACTTGGATAGCCCGGTGCACCATCGGCAGCTCGCGGCCTTCGAACCACACTACGGGAATATCTCCCGCGCGGATTCTCTCCTGGCGATTCCAGAGAAAGATCAGATCACCCCGGTAGAAGGCTGGCTCCATTGAGCCCGATGTAACCACCATGAGGGGATATGCCGATCCAGTGATCACGTTTGTGCCCTTCCATACCATGAACATCGTGCTAAGGGTCATGGCTATAGATAGTAGTTGAGAAAGGAAGCGTCGTAAATCCATTTCCAAATTACCAGACCGCTTGGCTGCCGTAGACGAAGACCTCCTATCGAGGAGCTGAATTTAGAGAAGAATCCGATTGCGGAAGTGATAGGAAGTAAACAGGTCTGAGGACTGTCGTGGAGCCTGCTGTCTCTAAACGAAACAAGGGCCGTAAGGGGTAGTTGGAAGAAGAGAACAAGAGAATAGAGCACGTTGGACAGATTAGAGGATACTGGAAGACCACGGTCCTGAGGAGGTGCAGCCAATACTCAACATCCTATCCTTTCATTTACGAAATTATACTGCCTCACCTAAGGCCACTACTTCCTTGACGATTCATGATTGTCTCTAGTGAAATTCTATTTGTCATGCTTTCGGCTATACTCTAGAGGAATCATACAAGCCCAGCATTATAGTACGTCTGTGGTCCTTGGTAGCTCATTTCTGCCCCAAGTTCCACCACCTCTACATCCTTGGCCTTTGTCTCAATTATGCAATGCAACAATCTGACAGGGTCCAAGGACTCTTCATTCCAAATCTGGGATCCAAAAATGACGCATACAACGAGGTGAACCGCCCGACGTCCTAATCAATGCACCAGCGAGATATAAAAAGGCCTCAGCACCCTGCTTCCAACGATCAAGGACAACACAGAGCTTCACTCAACTTCCATCCTTCCATACAATACAGATCTCTTTATCTGCCATCATGCACGCCAAAACCCTCGCTGCCGGCCTCGCCGTTGCCGCCCTCTCCTTGATCCCTTCCTGCCCTGCGCCCCCTCTAGCCGGCATGATCATCGTCAACCTTGCCGCTCCACTCGCCGGTAACCTCATCTACATCGGCCTTAAGAGCGGCGGCGTCGGCAGCAGGAAGCGTGACGCCGAGGCCACCATCGAGGGTTTCGATGATCTCGAGAAGCGCCAGTCCTGGCCTGGTGTGCCTGACTACAACATTAAGATGTGCCATGATGCCAATGTCGGCCGGACAGTCACTGTTCGGGAGACATCTGACAACTGTAAGCATCTCTGAAGAATCACAGAGCGAGAAAGACTGATAAGTTTGCAGCTCTTCGTGTTGAGAATGTGGCCCCGGAGTGCATGAACCTGGCCACTCTCTTTACTGAACAGGGAACCCCCGTCCCGTGTGGCTCTGCTTGCCTTGACTATGTCAACTTGAGTGCGGACGATAAGCAGAAGCTGATGGATATTGTGAACAATCTCCTTCGAGGCTAAGCAAATTCCTTTTAGCTGATGCTAAGAGGGTACCATCTAAGTCTCTAGCTGTTGGTGTATATAAGTTACACGTCTGAGCAGTCTATGTGTTTGCTTTTCATTTTCTTTTCTTAGCTCGTATCCTCAACAACTGAGGAAATTGACTATGAATATGACCTTCATTTCGAGTTTCTATATCACCTAGCTGTTTCCTAGTTACAATTACTCAGTAATATAATGCCAATCGGGCGAATCAGGCGAGTCAGGCAAGGAAAGAAGGGAAACAGAATGTTAKACTCACAAGGTGATCTCGAAGACTGTGTGGAAACAATGGAATAGTTAGATGGGTCTGTCATCACCGGAAGGCTGACAGTGCCTTTGGTTGCTGACTTGCTGTATCAGACACTGATCCCATTGAAGCAATTCATGGTCTATCTCAAGGTGTATCGGCCTAGCAGCAATGTGCTATATCTTCTACTCCTTATTCGGCAATTGCACATCACTACCAACTAGCTAGCTGCTTCCTATGAAAGGATGTACCTTAGTTATTAAGTTGGGAACACTCCCACTAACATTGGTCAACCTTAGCTTGGCACCTAGCGGCCCAGCTCCTTAGCCAGTGGCCCGTAGTGGGGGCTGAGGGTAAAGCAACAGGTGGCCCGTGGATAGACCTAAGAGAAATGTCTCAGTTTTAGAAATCAAGTCAGTGTTTCCAGTTATACAGTGTTCAGTCTAAAGCCAGTTAGCCGCCTGGATATGGATAATTAACATGGGAGGACTTCATGGAGAAGATCATTTACATAGCCTCAAGATGCTAGCAAATTAGATACTAAGAAAACATTGTAACAGAATAAGGCACGGATATAAAGAACATATAGGCAAAGTGTCTTCAAAACATAAATTTCATCCTCTGATTGCCGACTTGAGATATCATGACTCATGACCCAGGTTCATTCTTTCTTGCTGCTGCCCTCGTTATCCTCATCATTCCTCGAACTGGAGCCAGAATGAGATGACGGTAAACTGCTGTAGTGCAACAGTGTAGCCAAAAGGACTGTGATAACAGAGGCCTAGGCAACAGTCAGACAACTCTCGACCATTGCTGACATCGCGCAGAAAAAGCGCTTGCACTTACCAGTGATAGATCCATCCCCTCTGCAACCTCTACCGTCCAGGTAGGACGCTTGCCAGGCACATAGGCCGAGAGCACGTCTGCGAGCTTGGCGATCATCACCAAGTTACCCTTGTGGTAGACGTGAGTCTTCGTCTTCCATACATTCTGCCCGCGGACTTCGAGGACTGTTTCCTCCCCATCAGCGGCCGGATTCTTGAAGCAGACGTCGAATTTGTCTTTGAAAGCGCTCCACTTGGTGGCGATGGTCGCAATGGGTTCAGAGCCGCGCTCGTCGCCGGGAAGGACGACGAACCAGGTCACGCCGGCTTTTTTACGCTGCAGTGTAAACAGTGGGAGGCCTGAGGCATCGCTGAAGTGTCTTTTGTTACTCAAGGATCCAAAATCACCTTTCACGGAGAATAACTTCGTTCCGAGCGGAGAGTCGTCCGCGGGATAGGTGGAGATTGTGAAGTCGCCTCCGGACAAGCTTTCGCTATGTTGTTTGACGCGAAGGGCCACAGTGTCTGTGGCGATGTATTTTGTGTTGAGGGCAATAGGTAGTTTGAGTGGGAGCAGTTTTGACGACGCCATGCTTTTTGGAATTCGCAGGGACAAGTTACCAGGCGACTGGCTTCAAAGAAACAAGATGACTGAGCCTTATCGGCAGAAGTTAATACTGATTCATGGAGTATGGGGAGGGGAGAGAAGAGTCTAAAAGAATAGTGGGTGTAAATTACCTCAATATCCATCCTTGATAATAACTAGCAGGGCTATGCAGTTAGTGGGACATCCAACATCCTTGGTCCATGTAAGTGGTAGGACATGTCCCGAAGATAGCGCGAGCGGAGAAGCCACCACAGAGTGTACTTTTCTTGGCCAGTGGGGTTCGGGCTGCCAAGGGTAAACCTTGCAGTTGGAGGAGCTGTCTTACTCTTAGTGGCTGGATAGCCTGGTGATCACTCCCTCTCTTTTTCTTCCCCCTGAGGCTCAGCTATTCATCTTCATTGGCTTTGTCTTCAGTTTCCAAATGTCAGGCGAAACGCTAGATAACGATGCCGATTACGGCCGTCTACCATTCGACCTCTTCGTCTTGGTTGGTTCCCCAAATTACAGTCATATCCCATCCAGTACTGTCTAGTCTAACCTCTATACACAGGAACGTTGGGATCATGATACCGCGGAAGACAGTCAGGAACAGTGGGAGCGACTCGTCTGGGAATGGCAGAAGCTGTCGCTAATCGAACGCTGGGTATATCCTTCCTCGCTGGATCAAAATACAAAAAGGCTGACTGTCCTTGCCAGCCGTATCAGCGCCGTGCCCAATCCGAGTCCTCTCCGCCTGAAATCAGCGAGGAGATCAGGCGTGTGCTGGCCACGCACCAGACAGTACATGAGCGTAATTTCAGCCTGGTCAGCAGTGACGGCTGGCAGATCTTCTGGCTGCGGACATGCTACGACCCGGATCTCGCGAGCAAATACGAAGAGATGAAACAGAACTCCAATGTGCCTGGATCGGGCGTCCCAGAGGACAAGATCCTGGACGACCCCGCCCGCTACAATTTCGACGACGGCAGCAAGGACTCCTGGCGTCGGGTGTTAGTCCGCGTTCCTGGCATCACGGACTTCGGTGGCATTATTGACATGGATGGAGACGGGAGTAATTTACAATACAAGAGTGGGCAGAACGATGAGTACTTGGTGCGCCATGCCGAGGAGAGCGAGGAAGATTGGCGGGACGTCATTCGAGCGGAGTTGAAATTCCAGGCTGGTCTTTACCTGTTGGACCGAGAGGCCATCGAGTCTGGACTGATCAAAATCCTCTGGCTCGATGAGCATGGGAATATCGCCTGGGATAACCGGCTGGACCCCTTTACGTCTGACTTGGAGGGGCTAGCAGGAGCGCTCCTCAATGCTACAAGTTTGGTGGAATTGGCCAACTACGACGGCACCCGCGGGGCTATGATTGAGCGCTAGAAGGGCTAGTGATCTTACGCTTATTACCCTTTCCGCTCTAGTGCTTACCCCTCGCTGCTTTTGCCTCGCTCACTGATCACTGAGCTTGTTTCCTTTCCCTATTGCATAGCCCACGAAATGGCACACAATCTATCAGATATTTTGAAGAGTGCTTCTGTAGACTTGACCCCGTATGAGGATCTCTACAAGCATTTCCATGCCCATCCCGAACTTTCGCTCCAAGAAGAATCTACATCTCAAAAGGTCGCAGCCCATCTGTCACAGCTGAACGCTTATGAGATTCACACCAATATCGGCGGCCATGGGCTCGCAGGTGTCCTTAGGAATGGCGCTGGCAAGACCGTCCTTCTGCGAGCTGACATGGACGCACTCCCGGTCAAGGAACTCACTGGACTCCCATACGCGAGCACGGTCACTATGCGCGACGCCGACGGCGTTGAAAAACCAGTGATGCATGCATGTGGACATGACATGCACATGACATGCCTTCTCGCCGCGGCTGAAACTCTTGCCAACATGCGGCATGCGTGGAGCGGAACGCTGATCGTGCTGTTTCAGCCCAATGAGGAACGGGGCGGTGGCGCGCAGGCGATGGTGGACGATGGACTTTACTCCAAGATCCCAGTCCCCGATTATGTCTTTGGCCAGCACGTCATGCGCATGCGTGCAGGAAGCGTTGGCTCCCGGCCTGGGACGATCATGGCTGCTGCTGACAGTCTTAAAGTTACCGTCTATGGGCGCGGTGGCCATGGATCCCTGCCCCATCAGACAGTCGATCCTGCGCTTCTCGCTGCGCATATTGTTGTCAGACTGCAGGGCATCGTGAGCAGAGAGATTGACCCCAGCGACCTCGCAGTCGTGACTGTTGGAAGTCTACAAGCGGGGCAGACCGAAAATATCATTGCGGACCGGGCGGAGATTGGGCTTGACTTCCGGACGGTCAAGCTGGAGACCAGGCAGAAGATTCTTTCTGCTGTTCAGCGTATTGTTGAGGCCGAGTGCATGGCTAGTGGCTCGCCGAAGCCGCCTGTGTTTACTCCAACAAGACGGTTTCCGCCCACTGTAAATGACGAACATGTGGCGTCGCAATTAGCTGCATCTTTTGGACAGCATTTTGAGGACTTTGACGCCGATACACCGAGAACCAATGTTAGCGAAGATTTTTCTACGCTGGGGACTTGCAGAGATATTCCATGCTGCTTTTGGTTCATTGGGGGCATTGATGCGGAACTTTGGGACAAGGCAATGAGAGAAGACAATCACACAGACGAGATCCCTGGGAACCACTCGGCCCTTTTTGCGCCAGTTATACAGCCGACGATGAGAGCTGGAGTGGATGCTCTTTGTCTTGCAGCTTTGACATTTCTGAGGAAATAACTTCATCACCTATGACACCTTTTAGTGGCTCACTGAGTATTATTGACCATCTAACTTATCCCGCAACTGCTGTCCACAGAGCGGTGTTCAAAATACGCGTGATATCGGTTGAACCATCTGGACGAAGGGCGCCATCTGTTTCGCCAGACTGTTTCAGGTCTTCCCAGTCTTGGATTTTGCGCTCAATGTACTCCGCCAGACCCGAAGCATGGAGGATCTCAGCCACGCGGTAGTGGCAGTCCAGATACGCGGGATCAGGCAGCGGGATATCTTCCCCTTTGGCGCATTCGAATGTGACCTTGCGATTACTAGGCAGGAAAAACAGAGGGGTGGTGGTTATATCCGGATAAGTCTTGATGTCATAAACGTTGCGCTCGTCCTTTACAGAATGAAAGCAATATGTGAGAATGATAGGAATAAATGAGTGAATGAGTCAGACTTACTGTCTTGACGAAGGCCATATGGAAACTTCCAACCGCCATGTGCAGGGGAATGAGCAACATCATCCCGTTTGACGGGCTATTGGTCGTCCTGGTCCTCGATCTGCAATTCAGTAGCGCGGGGAAGCACCTAAGCAACACTTCCCCTGGGTCGTAGGCTTCCTTCGTATCCTGTTCTTAGTCAGCTCATGAGATGAGACAACACTGTTGGTTTTTCTAGGAAACAATACCTGGCTTCCCGCCCAGTATGCAAAACTGAACGGAAGGATGTTGGTGGCCTCTAGGAAGTCATGGGGCTCGTTAGGCCTTCCACTATCGATCCATTTCTTTTGCTCTAGCCAGCGAGTGACGCAACAGCGGTAACCATCTCGGCGCAGAAGTTCCTTACGGAATTCGCTCTCCTGGACCTCTGATCGAAGGAGGAGCGTCTCCGTAATCACCTCGGCGTTGGCCTCATGGGGCGAAGCTGTGACTGGGGGTTTACGACTCTCTGCCATCACTAAGATTGGATCAGCATGTACAGTCTGAATTCTTTCTCTCAAGTCATGTATTATCCTTACTTGGGTAGAGAACACCGGTAAGGACGTTGTGGAAGACTTCCCACAACTTTTTGTCATTGCCTGCTGTGACGATGTCTTTGGCCAAAGATGGATCTGGACCGTCTCCTGGAAACCAGTCCAGACAGGCATTCAGGCAGGCAACGACATACTGATCATGTGGTCTCTTTCCTTTTTTATAACGCTTCACCCTCTTCCTGGCGGCGTCTATAACATTCGGGAGTGTCTCGGGCGACTCAGGCTCGGTAAGAACCACGGAGAGTCTCTGCTCTGACGGCTGACGATTGGATTTACGGGCCCGAGTGTGTTTCGAACGTCCCTCCCCAGTGTCCTCAGGAGGCAGCCTAGCTAGTCGGCGAGATTTCCTCGGAGGCATAATTTCAAAGAAGAACATTCCTGAAGTATTATTCGTGGGCTTGTAGGTGGCCGAAATACACTACGCTTTTTGACGTCACATTACACAGCGTGATATGACAGAATATTTGTACCAGGTCCCATGACGAGACAGAACACTAAGTTAGGTGCAGTCTACATGAACCTTAACTTACTGCGGGTGAATGCTTACTGACCCGAAGGCCCGACCTGTACCCGCCCCGAAGCCTGAGCGGTTTCCCAATTTAGGAAGGCTGCACCCTGTAAATGTATGAAAGAGAAAAGCAATGAATTTATGCAGTCATCATGATAAGATTAAGAGTGGGAGTTCATTGACCTTTTATCATGTAACCCCTTTGACTGCTAAAAGAGCAGCATGATAGAGGGTGCCATGGTCCAAGGTATTACTCCCAGGTTGCCAGTGTAAGTTGCACACTGTACTTTCATAACTGTTCTAAATCTGAGACGAAGATAGTCTGTACGTTGCCGCCTGTGTCGTTCGCAACACGCCTAGAGATAAGAGGGTACAGAATGGCCCCATAAGCAGTAATATCAGACACTCCTTGTAGGACTATCCATTCAGCTGTGTTGGGATCCGCCTGTATTCCGCTGGTCCTCGAGGCTGAAGGCTAGGGAAGTGCACTAAAGCGATCAGCGATGCCGACGTCAATACTGCCTCTGCGGCTCAGAGTATTGAGGTCTGGTAGATCATGTCCGTCCGCACGACAGTTAGGACCTGTCCTGAAATCTTTTATTGTGGTGGATATCGTGTCACGGAGCGTTTTGAAGCGTTCAGAGGAGGGGGTGCCTAAGTGCGTCTCCGCACATAACTCTCTGATATGTTTGCGACCCATCATTGATACAATGCCCAATGCCTTGGCGACATCAACTGCTGTGATATGTCTGTTAACTAGATTAGTGAATTTAGGGAGGTTATTTCTGTGATTCTAAAGCTGTATAATTAATATTGCGCAGAATGTTCGTATTGCTTCATGGTGTATAATTCTTTTAAAACCTTGAATCAGCTCTCAGAAGGTGGTCTGAGAAATGAAGGCCCCTCTGTGGGTTCCTTAGGCAGTTGCTGGTCCTGTTTAAGCGGAGTATTTGGTTTGTCCCTTGTCGGGTAATAATAACATCATCGCCCTCAAGAGATTGACATAATTCTGGCATGGAGAGATGGTCCTGTTCCATGTCTTTGAGAGGGTGACCCGTCAGGCCTAATCCAGAGGGTTGTCTGTTGTGTGTCCTGGTGCAACCAGACCCTGTTCCAGAATCTGTACTGTGGACGTCTTCTGTTGAGGCAAACTTCCCTTTGCTGAGAGAGGGGAACATGTTCGCCATGAGTTGGACCTTCTTCCTTTGATGAGCCAGTGTTGATAGGATGTTGGGTGTGGAAGGAAGGAGCAGGGAGCTTAGTTGATGAAATTAACAGGTGCGGGCAGCTAACTGAGGGCAGTCAGGCTTTCTCAAGCAACTTGGTGGAACGACTCGACTGGTAGTATGACTCATAGAGCGTCTCGAAATGTGGTCATTGGTGTCGAATCATTTGCCGCGTCGAGAATGTGTTGTCTGTCTGGTTTGTATGAGTGGGAGGGGAAGAGAAAGGTTGGATCTGTGGGTTGTAGTGGTGTTGCCGTGTCGTCTTCCTGAGTGGAATGTAGATGGCGTCCGATCTTACAAAGTCGTCAGCGCGAAATCCGTTGCGGACGTCGCTTCAATTACGTAGAGATCAGAAGAAGTTGGCGCCCCTGGTCAGACAGGTGACATGCTACCAATTGTAGTGTCTCGGCGAGCTCCTTCGCAGTCTAATTTTCCACCTGATGTCTCTACTGTTCGTGGCTAAGAACGGTATCTGTTTGGTTTAATTCATGTGAATCCAGTGAGGTAAGATGTCGGCAGACCAGGGGAAAGGTTTGTGAGTGGAATGATTAGAATAAATAGTAAATGAGTCAGACTTACTGTCTTGACAAAGGCCACATGAAGACTTCCAAAGGCCTTGTGTAGGGAAACACTATACCGTTTGACAGGCTACTGATTGTCCTGGACCTCAATCTACGATTAAGTAACTTGGGGAAGCACCTAACAACACTTCCCCTGGGTCGCAGGCTTCCTTCGTACCCTGTTTTGAGTCAGTCTGAATTGCGGATAGGGATGGATCTTAGTATTGACTGTAGCACACCTCCTAAACAAAGTATTTCTCGAAATACCTTGTCCAAGCATATCAGTGGTTGTGATAACGGGAGTGGCATTAGGCTGGTTCGCTCATGATATTGACGGAAGGCTCGAGCTACCTTTTGAAGCTCATTAAGCCAGATGCTTTCGGCAAGGGGCCCCAGATTAGCCTGATCAAACCCAGTGTCCAATTCGCGTAGGTTCTGACTTTCGCAAGAAGAGATATTCAACCTCAATAACGAGGGGCTCGTTATCAAACGAGGTATCCTTATTACGGCGCCATGACTATGATCTTCTGTCATTGCAGGCTCTCCGTCGCTGATCTTCTGTCTTTGCAGCACCATCTCCGGGATTCGTCGATTCACTAATATCATTGAGATCTTCACGTCGCCTTCCGACTTCTCTAGCCAGAAGCGGGCGTCCTCGTCGAGCTTCGATTTCCGTTTGGAGAATCTTCTCTTCTCTGTAGCAGCAAGGCTTTTCGTGGAACGAAGCGATCATTGGCTGCAGTTTCCAATGCGTTGCGCATCAGCCAACCACTTCTCCTTATATAGTGGATGAGTCTGACATTCTGGACTTCCATCGAGCTTTCGATGGTCGATTCCTCTCGTAACAGGAAACAGACGCGGCCCGGACGCCCTCGACGGAGGCATAGTAACCTTCGTCCAGGAATGAGACGCAGCAGGCGCTGTCCACGGTAGGTGATACCATTTATCTTCAGTAGCACCGACCCGCAGATCATTCCGCAACGGCTGGCCAGAGAGCAGTGCTCAAAATATAGGTTATGTTGGTAGAACCGTCGGGACGAAGACAGCCATCAGTTCCACCATACTTTTTCATGTCACTCCAGTCTTGATTTTTGTAGTAGACATGCTGTACCAGATCCGCAGCGTTAATGATCTCAGCCACCCGATAATGGCAGTCTAGAAACACTGGATCTGGCAGGAGGAGATTGTCCACGCCTTCACTGCATCTGAATTTGGCCTTGCAATTATTAGGCAGCAAACGCTGAACGTCAGTACCTACATCAGGGTAAGTCTTGACTGCATAAACATTCTGCTCTTCCTTCAGAAAATGAAAGAATCTGTCAGTAGTATGATTAGAATAGACGAGGACATAAGTCAGACTTACTGTCTTGATGAAGGCGATATCAAAACATCTAAATGATTTGTGCAGGACATGAATCAAAATCATCCCGTTCGATGCGGTCCTCAATCTACTACGACATACGCCGGGAAAGCATTTACAAAACACTTCCCACCGCTTTGAGGATTCGTACGAGTTAGTGAGAGCAATACGATCAGAGTTCTAGGGAAAATACCTCGCTTCCCGCCGAAGACGTGTAACTGCAGGGTATGATGTCGGCGCACTCCACGTAGCTTTTTAGCTCATCAGCTGGCAGATATCCATTCTGCTTCCATTTTTTGGTATCTAGATGACCAGTGACACAACACCGATAGCCCTATCGGCGCGCACACTCATCACGGAAATCGGGATCTCGAACCTCTGGTTGGATGAGCGTCCCTGCAAATACGTCAAGATTGGGCTTCCTGAAGTCAAAGGGCGATTCGGGTTTGGAGGGTATGGAACTCTCTGCCATCACTAAGATTGATCAGCATGCATCCTTGGTGATTCTTTTCTCTCGCTTACTTGGATAAAGGAGATAGGTGAGAAGATCGTGAAACACCTGCCACAGCTTTTGGTCATCATTTTCAGCGTTGATGATGTCCCTGGCCACAGAGGTCTGACCTCCTGGTGGCAACCATTCCAGGAAGGCCTTCAGGCAGGGACGGAGATACTCTTCATGCGGTCTCCCTTCATTCACATAACTCTCAACCCTTGCCCTCGCGGCTTCTACCAAATTAGTGAATGTCTCGGATGGTTCCGGCATGCCATTCACTGACTGCTGACGACGGGACTTGCAGACGGACCGCTGCCGGGCCCGAGCGGCTTCCCTAATGTCGACATCGGGAAGCTGCCTAGCCAGTCGGCGGGACCTCCGGGGGGAGGCAGGGTCTCTTTGCCGGCCACATTTCGGACTAGTTGGAGGCATGCTTAGGGTTTGTGGATGTGGAGTACATCAACAACAACTTAAAGTACTGAACTTGGGAAGGACGTAGTATATTACTCTGCTACTTTAGCAAAATCCAATTGAAGAACGTGGCATGTCGTCATGGGTGTTTCCGGGGTTCAGGTACAAGTATGGGGCTATATCCATATAAAGTCATCACATTCACAGGTTATATAGTATGATTTGATAGTGGCATCACAACGCATTATGATATATGAAGCACATACAGAAAAATGGATCAATCATATTCATCTTTAGTCTTGAAAACTCCTGATCAGGTATTTCAAGAAATATCCGTAGCCACCAAGACCATCATACATATTACCATGGTAAATATGATGCTGACTCAGATGCTCAACCTTGAACCATCCTCCTGAACGACTCATCAGGAATCGCGAGTATGAGGAGGAACATCTCATCGTGGAATATTTGGAGTCGACGACGTAAACATCCGGATACTCGTCTGGAGACTCCGTTCATTAAAGTGGGCTCCTTGTGCGAAGAGCTAGAAAAGCTACCGGGGCCAAAGATCTCGTCTGAGTTACTGGACTTTATTGAATTTCTGCTTGTGGTGGATCATACGAAAAGGCCAACAGCATGTGAAGCACTGCGACATCCATATCTACAGCCTCTTGGAGATTCGGAATACACGTAACGAGCAGTTCATTAACATATGACATTATTTGGCCAGGGATTTCTCCCCTGAAGCTGTTCTTAAATAGACAGAGTCCAATCTAGCCCGGAGCCGGTTCCCTCAGCCTCCTAGTCTCACGAGTCAGCGACTCCTCGCTCCCCCCGCTCAAAGAATCCTGCTTCCTTACGCCGACAGCAGCAAACTTCTTCTGCCCCAACGGCTGCAGGCACAACTGGCTCGGGTCATCTTCCAGGCGGTGGAATCCGTCACCGGAAGCGGAGGGATCGGGCTTGGGCCCTGTAGACGGGGAGGAGGACTTGGGACCTGTTCCGTTGGGAGTGTAGACCGATCGACCCAGTAGCGGTCGCATCATCGGGATCGAGGCAAGGATGACGGCGAGGCACGGTTCCAGGCCGCTGAAGATGTTGGCGCGGGGCAGCGTGTAGGTGATGTCGGTGAAGTCCATTGAGGAGAGCACGGAGATCCGGAGGGCGCTGATGATGCAGGTGCTAGTTGGATCAGTATCAGAATACTAAATAGCAAGGGAGCGGAAACGTTGAACTTAAAGGGCCTTACACTACTCCCAATCCAAAAACGGTAATCAAGGTCACCTTCTTGTACGTCGCCATCTGTAGCTTGTACAGCGATGGCATCGGCGTCACGAGCACGGCCACATCAGTAACCAGATTGATCACCCCCGTCACCGTGAACGAGGTGACCTGGTCTCCGCACGATCCGCCGGGGATGGTATGATCCCAGTTGAAGGCAAAGGGCCGACAGATGAGACACCCAGCCAGGATTGTCGCGATGGCCCATGCGACGATGACGCCGATGGTGACCCAGGCCATCCACACGACCCGCACGACGGGGAAGATTTTCAGATACAGCAGCAAGATCGAGATTTTGGTGCAGCTGAGGCTCAGCACCCATGTGAACTGCAGCGGGATGATCAGTTGGAGCAGTTTGGTGACGGGCTCCATGCCGTAGACGGCCACGATGGATGGGACATGGTCGAAGCCGATGCCCGCTTGGAATACGCCGGTGATGCTGATTGACTGGAGGCCGACGGCGAAGAACTGGGAGACGGAGGATGTATAAGTCATATGTAGACACTATAGAAGGGGCTTCGGCGTACGCAGGCGGCAATGAGGAAATAGTCACTCGAAGTCCATGGTTTATGCGCAATATGATGGGCCAACAAGCGCAAGGACACTGCGACGACGGCCAGGATCGAAAAGGTGAGGGCCACAGCAAGCACAGCCCTTTGGTCCCGGGTCTGGATAGGAAAAATCACCGTCATCTCTTAAGAGACAGGCTGCGAGGAACTGGCAGACATGGAGAGAAGGCGGACTCTATGTCCTCATCAGAGAATGTCCAGGGTTAAATGCCATGGGAATAGAATTATTGCAGGGATTAGATATAGGATTTTACTTCCCAGGGGCCAGGCCCACTTTCCGTGCTTTTGACATTGCTTCAGGCTTGTTGATCACAGATATTGACCGTTGACAATGGGAGCATAAGACAGGTACGCTCTCTACATACCACACCACTACTGCTAGAAGGTCGCGGTATGTCGACTCGAGCAATCCGTACAATTGCAGTAACATATCACAACTGCGATCTGAAATTATGAACGTCTCCTAAAGAACAACCAGAATATGCAACTTCATAAGAATAGGACCCTGATTTTGCATACTCTATAATGCTCGGCGCGGTTCCGTCATGCCCCAGTCTTGCTTATGGCTTGGCCTGCCTCATGTCATGAAAATAACCTTTCCATATTGGCGGGTCATTCTGTCTTTCTCTTTAGTGTCGTCTCAGGGAGCGAGATCGGCAGACTAAGTCAAGATAATTGCTGAAATCTGAATAATGTCGGAGAAATGCCGGTGAAACCTTTGCCAGCATCGCATTGACTAAGTACTAGATCAAGGACTAGTCTCATGCATCCTAAGTCGAGCTATCCAACCATTCGACTAAACAAGGCGTCTAGACGACCATTCTAGACTAGAGAATAGTTAGTAGGGTGGTTAATAACGTATCCAACAAGCTCCTCCCCGGCCAACTGCCGAAACCCTGAAATTGACAGCACGGTTGCCGTACTCCTCCACAACTCATCTCAACCATCTATTGACCTCAGTATGGCTGCCACTGCTGTCGTGGTTGTCATCGCTATAGGTCTGTCAACACTGTTGTATTTCAGCAGAAAGAATGGCAGCAAAAAGACCAAACACCTGAAACTCCCTCTTATCGGCGACCTCCATAGTTCGCCCATCGAAAAGCCCCTGGCAAACTGGGACTCCTGGGCCCGACAGAATGGCCCGATAACAGTTCCCAGGCTGTTTGGGATCATCCCAATTGTCGTGCTCAACTCGTACGAGGCTGCGACGGAGTTGTTCAGCCGCCGCAGCCAGTGGTACAGCAACCGTCCGGTCTCGGTGAGCATGGAGATGATCACCGGCGCTCCGCCAGGCCAGTCTCGCTTCACGCTGATGCACGACTACGACGACCATCTCAAACTGCACCACCGCATCCTCTCGCCCAGTCTCGGCGCCCTCGCCGCCCCCAAGTACCAGCCCCTGACGGAACTCGAAGCCAAACAGCTACTAGCCGACCTAGTCGACGCCTTGCAGCGATGTCCAGACGGCACCACCATCAGCACCGACACCATCTACCCACTGCTGGAACGCACCCAGTCCAGCGTCATCCTAGCGCTGCACTACGGCCTGCGCATCCCGCACGCCGACGAGCGCATTCTGCACGAGATCATCGACATCCAGGTCCAGGTCACCCACCTCGCCGCCAATCCCGGCCTACCCGATCTCATCCCGCCCCTGCGCCACCTCCCCGCCGTTCTTTCCCCCTGGAAACGCGCAGCGGACCGCCTCTACGCCGCCCAGGTCGACCTCTACATGCGCCTCTTCCATTACGGGAGGGACGCCACCAGCTGGAACGCCACGAAGCAGGCCATCTCCACCGCGGGGAAGTACGCCCCTGCATCCTCCCAAATCCCCGACCTCGATCTCGCCTTCACCCTCGCGACCTCCATCCAGGGCGGCATGGAGACCTCCCCGCGCCAGCTGCTCTGGCTCTTCATTGCCGCACTGCACGATCCGTCGTTTGTGGCGCGCGCGCATGCCGTTCTCGACGAGGTCGTCGGCCGTGACCGTCTCCCGCGGTTCTCGGACCGCGCACGCCTAGCCTTCATCGACGCCGTCGCCCACGAGCTGTTCCGCTGGCGGCCTATCGCCCCGGGATCCATCCCCCGCCGCGCGGACCGGGACGACGAGTTCCAGGGAGTCAAAATCGCAAAGGGCGTGACTATCATGGCGAATGCGTGGGCCATCGGCCGAGACGAGCAGGTCTTTGACCCTGCGCTTGGGGACCTGCACGAGTTTGTTCCTGAGAGGTGGTTGCGGGAGGGTGAAGCTGGGGAGGAAAGATTACGGAGTGACCTTCCAGTGCCGGTGTTTGGGCAGGGTCGGCGGATCTGTCAGGGGAGGAGGGTCGCGATTGATGGGACGTTCATGCAGGTTGCTAGTTTGCTCTGGGCGTTTGATATTGACCTGGAGGATGGGGCAGAGCCGGTTGATCCGTGGGAGATGGTCGTGGTGGGATTCATGACTATGCCCCGGGAACGGAGGTTCAAGCTCAAGCCTAGAGGGGACTGGGTGTTGGATGTGATCAAGAGAGAGTGGGAGACGGCGGAAAAGAGTCTGGACAAGGTCATGGGGACGAATGATGTTGAGTGATCAGGAAGGATTGATTCACGACTGATTGATCTAGTGTTTTTGCTGTGCTCCAGTGCCATCATGTTGACAGTCAACCGCTCCGTCTCAATGATCTACCACTCATGGACTACTGCTTGAAGTCCGCAGAAAAGTTGAGAGCATCATCAGCCTTACTCGTATACATCCTCTTACTAGTACTCTGCGACCCTCGTCTAGAGAACTTCGGCATTCCATTCGGTGAGATACTGTCCACGAAGGGAAAAGAATCTTGACGCTGTAACACCACTGCTCGCAGAGCACCAGAAATCCATCAGCCACAACCCAAGATATCGACAAATAAGCTGCGCATTCATCCCAGCAATGCAACCGAGAGGGCATCAGTCAGGAACACTTCTTGACCTCGACGACGTCAACAATAATCTGCAGGACTATGTCCGGAGGCGGCTGATGCTAGACATAGTAGACCAGGAGACATGTAAAATCGGTGAACAGGCCTTCGTCACTGCAATGCTCCAAAAGCAGGACGACTTCGCTTCTTCATACTGGTTTATTGGAGGCCCGGAAGATGTGAAATACACTGTATGTTATTATGGATGGAAACTTGCCATGTAAGGGGAAGCTTTATATGACGAGTCGGATGCCAGTATATATGCTATAGCGGCAGTTGATCTCTCTGCAATGCGTTGCTATCCGAATGAAATCATACAGCTGGCAATAGTCAGAATAACCAGGCAACTAAGGCAGGAATCAATTACATTTCCTAAAACGCGAGTCGCGTCGCGTCTGTCACGTGACTATATCTCCCCATCCATTCCTTGCCACTTTCGGGCTAGTGCGGCCATCAGCTTCGCATCATCAAAACAAAAGACAACAATGCAGAGCTAAAAGTGGTGATTGGAAATAACACGGCTGCGATCGGCACTCAGTCTGGCTTCAATAGACTTCTCTAGCCTTTTTTTCACTTTTGTGAGGCTCCAGTCTGATCACTGACCGAGATCAATTGAGATCCCCAGCCCAGCCCAGTCTGATACCTAGGTGAAGATCACCGGAGACGAGCAGACACAGAGGCAAAATGGTCAGTTCCAATTGACAAAATCTCCAGGAAAATATTAAACCAGACTGACGCCTTTTAGCGCTCGTCCTTCCGCCGTCTAGCCGCAGATCACGCTGCATTGCACGAGGAACTCCCTCCAAACTACCTTTTCCCTACCGAAGAATCATCCGATGATCTGACCCAACTCACCACCCTGCTGGCCGGTCCGCAGGGCACACCGTACTCCCAAGGTCTGTGGCGATTACACTTGAAAATGCCAGAGGATTACCCGAAGAGTCCGCCCAAGGCGACGTTCAAGACCCGGATATGGCACCCGAACGTGGAGGAGTCGACCGGCGCAGTGTGCGTGGATACACTAAAAAGGGATTGGAAGTCGACGTTGACGTTGAAGGACGTCCTAGTCGTGCGTGCTCTACTATTAAATCAGGTCAATCAGCGGCTGACTCCCCTGGACTAGACCATCTCCTGCCTCCTCATCTACCCTAATCCCGATTCCGCGCTCAATTCCACGGCCGGCGCTCTCCTGCAAGAAGACTACGATGCGTTCGCGCGCCAGGCAAAGCTCATGACATCGATCCACGCCCCCGTACCACCAGATCTGAAAACCGCAGTCGTGGAGGCGAAATCGAGGGGCGAGGAGGCCGGAACACTCATCCCAGAGCACGAGGGTACCCACGGTCTGCGATCACGCCCAGGGACAAGGGTGCAGTCCTTAACGATGAAAACGAAGAAGTCCACGCCGCAGCCATCGACCCACACCAACGCTGACGCCCACGACAGCAACCCAGAATCAGACGATGAAAGCGAAAGCGACGCAGGAAGCACCCGCCCCTCCACCTCCAAAGAAAACGACCCATCCCTCTCCCCCTCCCCGGTGAAACTCGCCCCTCCCAGCCCCCGCAAAAACACCCACGGCAAACGACCCCTCTGCGACCTCACCACGTCCCTAGACCCAGACACAGAGGACCCCAATCTCACACCCGCACCAACAACAGACAAGCCACAAATGACCACTTCAGAAAAGAACATCGCCGCCAACCACGCTCCACACCGCCACTCTTCCCCACAACCGCAACCGCAGAGAAAATCCCCGAAGCTCTCCCTCCTCGACAAAGGCGTCAACGCCTCAGCCCGGATCCGCGACGACGTAATCATCATCTTCGAAGACGCCTCGGAACCTTCTGACCTGCAGTCCCATCACAGCAACGACAGCAAGGAGAATCATGCTGCGCTCAATGCCTCCAAGGGGATGGGCCTGTCCGCACGGAAAAGCCCGCACTACCCATCTTCGCTCCTCGCCCCTTCCACGGCGATTACGTGTCCGTCGGCCTCAAAGTCCAGGGCGGTGTCTGGCTCGCGGAAGGTCTCGTCCTCGAGCATGAAGGCGAAGCCTCGGATGGGGATCCGCAGGTTATAGGGCCGGTATATGTATGCGATTTCTGGCTACTTTTGTCGATACCACTGCGTGCTTCTGTGCGTCTCTGGGTTTCTCTGGTCTGTCTTGGCGTTGGAAAGGGCATATGCGACGCATTGGGACATGGTGGTGCTCATTTCTGCTAGGGATGAACTGCTAAGGTGCTAGGGGTTTGCGATTTCTTCCATCTTTGTATATCTTCTCTATCAGCGACGCATGCGTCGAACTTAGTATAGCAAGCATTGTGCTTCTGGCATAAGGACGACAATTTAGTCCATTATAGTCATCGTATACTAATGTTAGCCAGTGGAAAGTTAACTACTAGAGCCTTCCCAGCGTCTGTCGGCAAGAAGCTAATCAAAGCCATCCGAAACCGCCAATAAAATAAGCTATGCAACTATTTAACATTAAGAACGTAGACAAATTCCCGCCGAGGTCTCACCTGCGGCCAGCTCTTGAAAGATGCTGTCGCGTAACTACCACAATTACGCTTGGTCCACTCATTCGGGTCACTTCAAACACTCCTGAATTCCCCCTAGGTTACCACCCACACACCTTTGCAATCGACGTCTGTTTGAAGCAAGTCGCCATGTAGTTGCGCTGTGCAATAGTATGCTGACAGCTCCAGTGGATAGGCAACTGATGGAATAATGCATACCCATACTCGAATCGATACTAGAGCCATAAAGACCTGAAGTATAAACATGCAAGTATATTCGAGTATCCGAGTAAGTGACCTAAAAACTCTTCGCCTTTACAAGGCATATGGGTTGACGGAGCGAATAGTGAGACAACTAGAAAAGAATTATGTTAGTAAGTACCCGAGATGATCGAGAGCCACTGAGGGACAACTTACGGAGGGCTCTTAGTCAAGTCAGTCTTGAGAATGATGGGAACCCGCGTCATCTCGGTCACATCCTGAATATACTCTCCGTCCTCCTCGCGGAGCTTGAACAGTTTGAGGTATTTCTCCTTGTTGGTCAACTTGGCTTCCGGCACGTCGTTGTTGCTGCTTGGCATCTTTGGATCGGACCGAGTACGGTGAGGAGTTTGCTGAACATGGCCATTACGAGTCGGTGAAGGTGGCATGCTCTGGGTTGTGCGGTCAGCAGACGAGTTCAAAGAGACGCCCGCAGCCATCTCGGTGACCTCGGAGATGTCGTCGTCATCGTCGAAAAGAGCATCCACGTCATCGGCAGACATGGTTCCAGTCTCAGTCTGCTTGCGAATCGCCTCATCACGTTCGCGCGCACGCTCTCTTGCAGCCTCTGCTTCACGAGCCGCGGCCGCAGCCTGGGCAGCGCGGGAGTTGGCAGGTCTAGGCCTTTCGTCCTCGGGAATGTAGGCAGAAGAAGGAACGCCCTTCTCCCAGTACAGCTCCAGAACACGAGTCTCCTTGCGGTACTCGGCCTTCTTGAGAGGTAGTTGATCACAGTGGACCCGCTTCTCGAAACCAAACTCAGGAATGAGAACATCGAAGGCCGACTCGTAGACACAGAGAACGATTCCCTCACTGATTAAGTCGCCACCGATCTCTTGTCTCTTCTTGTCCATACTACGGCAGGCCTCAATATGGACGCTCTGCTCCTGCGCATTGTGCGCCGAATCCTTCTTGGTATTGCACAGATCCGCTGTCTTGCTCAGAGACTCCACGTCATCTGAGAACTCAATTGCACCATTCGACAAGACGGCCTCGAGCTGACGGTGAACGATAATATCCGCATAGCGACGGGACGGGTTGGTAAAGTGAGTATAGACGGGTAGGTTGAGGGTGTAGTGATGGCGCTGCTCATCCTGTACAGTGCTAGCCACATAGTATTTCGCACGCTGCATCGCCTTCAACAAAACAGTTTCCATACCCTAATCCCGGTCAGTAAGCCAGCCGAATAAAGTAATGTCCGTAGCAAAGTCGAACACGAACCTTCCGCAGATCATCATCCTGTACTTTGCAGAGGCTGCTCTGCAGAGTCCCACTGCTCGAATGGTCAAAGTCATATCCGAGGCGATTCATCCTGTCAATGAAGGAATGAAGGCGGCGTGAGTTTGGCGATGGTTGACGGCGAAGGAAAGCCTTATCGGGCATGGCGGAAACCAGTTTTCGGGCAACGAAGAAGTTTGCCTTGTGCCTCAATTCCTCCACCAGCTCGCGTGCATCAGTAGAATCGAAGACGTTCCGTTCTACAGGCACATTCTCATCATCCAGTTGATGCAGAAGGCGCAGAGGCGGCGGGTTCGAGACACGATTGCCAAACCTAGCTTCTCGAAACTTCTGGGTGATGGCCTATAATCCATATCACATTAGTGCTCAGTCATGGAGAAAATGAGGATAAAGTGTTACCGACATTCAGAGTCTGAATGGTGTTGGCGGAGATTCCGGCAACGGATACATTGGACTCCCCCTTGATCGCAAAATTAACCTCCTCATAGCTCAGTCTGCCTGCACTCTTGACGATACTCTTGCCGATCCAAACATCTTCGTCGACGGCGCCGGTTTGCGGGTCGGCAGTGAATACAACGCTGACCGTAAGGCGATCCTGTTCCGGAAGGAGAGAG